CTCCCCCCCCCCCCCCTATGGGATAAATGGCAAAAATGCAGGGGTTTGAAAAAGTTACTTTATAATATGGAAAATAAATTATTTTGGATTTCTAATTTTTTTTTACAGTAGTAGATACAAAGTTTTTATTTGTATAATTAATTTGCTTTAAACATAGTAAATAATAATTGATAAATTAAGTTTTCGATAGGTGCGGCGTATATACCGGGTTTACCCTACATATTATGTTTTATTCCCATATATATACGTTACAACTAAAAATGCAAATTTTATTCTAAATTTTCTGTCATTTATTATAAAATGCTTATTAATCTTTTCTGGAGAAATAATTAAATAATCCTCTCTCTTTTTCTCTCTTTATATCTCCTTTATAGAATGTTTAAACCTTGGCTTGGAGATGGTTTGCTGATCACAAAAGGCAACAAATGGCGCAGACATAGAAAAGTGATTGCGCCTACGTTTCATATGAATATCTTAAAGACGTTTGTACCTTTATTTTATGAAAATAGCATAGATCTCGTAAACCGACTTCGCGATAAAGTTGGAAAGGAATTCGATTGCCACGATTATCTATCAGCCGTAACGGTTGACATTTTAACAGAAACAGCAATGGGAGTTAAGAAAGAAAAAAGACAAAAAACCGGATATGAATATGCTATGGCCGTGATGAAGTATATATTGTTGATTCTTTAAAGTTACACTTAATATTTTATTAAATATTTATCACATAGAAAATGTACTCATCATAATTTAAATATTTTAGAATGAGCGACATTTTACATCGAAGACATTATGATGTATCATTACGGTGGAATATGTTTTTTAAATATTCGAAACTTGGAAAGGCCCAAGAAAAATTGCTCGATATTATTCATACACTGACAGAACATGTAATCAAAGAAAAATCAATAGATGTCGAAGAAAAATATGCAAAACAACAATTAAAAGAAGCACAAAACGATAAATCAATAGAAAAGTCGGATATAATTGAAAATGTGGAAAATGTGAAAAACAATACTGCTAATTATAAGTTGCATTACGTAAGAGATGATCTTGATGACATCGATGAGAATGATATAGGTGACAAAAAGCGAATTGCCTTCTTGGAAATGATGTTCGAGTTAAAAAAGAATGGACAAATGACCGATGAGGAAATCTGGGAAGAAGTAAATACCATCATGTTTGAGGTATGACAATACTCTCAATTTCCTTTCGAGAGTAAATTCAGTATTATTATAAATCTCTTTGAACATGAACTTTTATAATTTAAATTTTTCTTAGTTTTTACAAAATATCTTGTACACATTGCATTGCTATAATAAATTGTAAGTTATTAATTTATATACCAAAAAGGGTAATTGCCGATTTATTATAGGGTCATGATACTACGGCGGCTGGCTCGAGTTTTGCACTTTGTGTCTTAGGAAATCATCCAGATATTCAGGTACATTCATTATTACTATTTTTAATAATTAATAACTGATAGTTTCATCTCTTTGCATTTGTGTTGCAAAATTGCTGTACACTGTTTTACTTAAAACACAAAGCTACTTTAAAGTAGCTAAGAAAGCGATCAAATCTCTTCGATCTTCGGTCTTTTTGACGCCATAGAATACCATACTTGTGCCTGGGATGAATTTCTTGGGAAGTTCAAGATAGTCATTTAAGGTCTTCTCATTCCACACAATAGCTTTTTCCTTTATAGCTTCCGTGGATTTAAATCCCGAAATAGCTTATAGAAGAGATAAAACAGTTACATAATAAATTAAGTTTCTAAACTTTACATTTGTATAATAGTATCATATAGATACGTATGAATATTATTATATTAAGCAATTATTAAAATGCCTCTTCTGAAATGTTTTTCATTAAAATATTTGCTCAATCAAGATATTGTCTTTAAAATATTGGAACATTTAATGAGAAACGCCTACTTCCACAAGTCTTGCCCATGATGCCATACAGGTTAGGACCTATCTTATGTTTTCCACCTTTTTCCACAGTATGACACGAAACACACAACTTCATAAATAATTTCTTACCGTTGACAAAATCACCCATCTTAATAGATTATTTATTCATCAATAACTGAACATATATTTAAGTTAAATTAAAATAGTAATTCAATAACATTGTATTTTACGATCTTCAATCGTTCCTAAGAGCTAAAGGTCGATATATTGCTTGGTTTCAATATAACAGTCATATATAATAATTTATTCCTTCTTCATTCTGATTTAATTCAATGATTTTCTCTATACAGGCTCGTGTACACGAAGAACTGGATTCAATTTTTGGTGATAGTAACAGACAATGCACTTTCCAAGATACTTTAGAAATGAAATATCTCGAAAGAGTTATCTTGGAAACTTTGAGACTTTTCCCACCGGTACCTCTCATTGCCAGGCACCTTAACCAGGATGTGAAAATAGGTAAGTTATTTGGATTTAAAAACATTATTAAAACAATGATAATTATTATAGTATTAAATGTACAAGCACGTTATAAGTTGCAACGGAAAATTTTTTCTAGACGGAAAAAATTTTTACAAAAATATACAAAAAAGCTACAGGTTGTGACAATATTAAAAAAATTCTTTGTAGGTATAGTCCCGTAGTGGCGTTATTTGAGGGCGGGGGATTTCTTGGTTTTTTCAAACAGATAACGCCACTTTATATCTTACTACGAATATTTATAATATTATCGAAAAAATTTAGAATTTCTAAGATCTTGTCTCAATCTATGTAGCTTTTCGTGCAAATTTTTCCATCGGCACTTATTTTAAGAACACATTTCTAAATTGAAAAGAGATATATATAAATATAGTTAATTTAATTTATAGTTACAGGAGACTATGTTCTTCCAAAGTCTAGCACAGTAATGATTATACAATTCATAACACATCGCTTAGAGAAGTATTATCCGAATCCGACAGTTTTTAATCCAGACAACTTTTTACCGGAAAACATGCAAAAAAGACATTATTATGCTTATATTCCATTTAGCGCTGGGCCAAGGTATTTAATAGTTATTATATTTTGTAGTAATAACATTTTTTTATTTTTAGTAATTTTTTGCTGAGGCTTTTTCTAAACTATAAAACTGATAATAAATGTAAACAATAAAACTTATAGTTAAAAAAATCCGTTTAAGTTTAAATGTTTGTTCATGAAATATCGACATCTAAAAATATTTTATCATAAACAGCAAAATATTGTCATATTCGTTAATATTATTTAATATTAACATGTATGAATAATAATAGCATGTTTTTCATAGGTCTTGCGTGGGACGAAAATACGCTATGCTAAAACTGAAGGTTTTGCTGTCAACAATACTGAGAAATTACCGTATTATATCTGAAACGTCAGACAATGATTTTCATCTACGAGCTGACATTATTTTGAAAAGGCAAGATGGATTCAAGATTAAAATCGAGCCACGTAAACCAGCATCATGCCAAGAATAATTAGGAATTAACGATCCCACATATCTGCGTAAAATATAATCCAGTAAAATATAAATAGATTGACGATATCCTTAAGTAAGACATCTATTTTCTACCATTAATCTCACTTAAGTAAGTACATTTATCTAATAATTTGCTATTTGTCTTTCTAGATCAATAAAACTAGTTAGACTTTTCCCAAATGGAAAAGTTAATGTTATAAATATTATATTTAAAATATGTTAAAAATGTCATCAAGAGAGAGACACATTATATTTTACAATTTATTTGCAGAATAAATAAGTGTGTATTAATATAGAAATTTTAATCTTTTGTTAATTTTAAGAGTCAATAATTTAGAACTAATAATTACTTATAAAATCAATAATTAACCTACTTCATATAATCCTGAACAAATAAAACGTTAAAAAAAAAATCACATTATTTCATCTTCCAATTTCAATACTATACGTATCTCATATATCTCATTTTTTTTTAAATATTGTAATTTATCCTTGTATTTTTTACATAAAAATTTAAATCTAATTTGTCTAAAAATATTTATTATCAAAAAAACAGAATTACAAAAAAATATAAATTCTTTTCTATACTAATGACAGAAAGCTGTAAATATAAAAACTGATATGTGTGTGCACCATGATATAACAAAATTATTAAAAATGCCTAACGTTTTAATGAAGAAACAGCGAAAATGCAATTTAATAAGTGAATCAGTACAAGTCATTGATATTCTTGAGACGTTCTACATCTTTTTATTTCCACCAATCGTCGGTGTTTGTTTTTTGCGCGCAATAATTCCGCCATTTTCTGAAGTCCACAAAAATGAATTGCAAAATCCAAGGTAAAATAAATACACCATTTATTACTTGTAGAGAAATCTGATATATTTTGTTACCAGCCTAATCCTTGATAATTCCTGCAACAAAACACACACACGCACAATGTTACTTATATAAAAAATTGTATGACAGTCTTTCTGAACTTACCTACGATCAGAGCCGGATCTAGGCCAGACTGGACACCAGCTTAGGGCCTCATCTTCCCAGGGGGCCTCACAGTTAATTTAGTTATTTCTATAAACCAAGCCCTCAAAACCACGCGTACCAGGGGCTGGGGGACAGCTTCACAGCTAGATCCTCGCGTCCAAAACCATAGACAGGCGAGCTCGCGAATCTTTTTCTATGAACCCAAGCTCTTAAAACCCCATACGTGAGAGATCGCGAGTCTCACGTGTCCCGAACTGCAGATAATAGTCGTGCACGTGAGTCTCGTTTTTATAAACCTAATCTCCCAAAACCGCATACTCGTGGGACAGTGAGTTTTTTATATACGCAGCTCGGCGAACAAAAAATGAGACGAAAATGTTTATAAATTAACTTCAATTAACAATTTAACAATATTTTTTCTACTAGATTATTTTTTCAGAACTGTGTGTAACATAATGTTAATGTAATAAATTATCGAATATTTTTAAAAAATTGGAATAAATGAATTATTATTGCTTTTTCATTTTATGGAAAAATTAGTGCTCTTACACGTGTCTCATCGACGAAATGGCCCAGGGCCTCAAAATAATAAATTCAGCCCTGCCTATGATGACACCAAAAATTATTGTGACTAAACTGCTGACAAATACAGAGTTGATATCATAAGCTGAGGCAAATTTTTCTATGTTAAAGTCTTCTATGATAACTGAAGGCTGCGAAACTATAGCAACCATGATCGCAAGGCTCCGATTAATGCTATTGCAATTAAAACGTCATTAAGCGTACGTTCACGTAGTAAAAAAACCCGCATCGCGTGAATTTTATTTTAAAAACTAAAAATTCACAATATTTTATTTATTCAATTATAGGATTAAATACTTACTTATTCTTGCAAATTCCATCAAGATTATGGCAGCAAAGAATATATATTTGGATTATATGTTTATTATTAGTGAAAAAACTGATATTAAGATTTTTGAAACCAGCTCAGTTATTTCACTAATTGTGTGAAATAATGCAGCATAGGCTTTTGAGTGTCCTACATCGGTCATCAAAATTGGAAAGATAAGTAAAACCAAAGTCAGAAGTATACATGAAACTGATACCAAAACACAAATTTATGAAACAGAAGTTTTTCACCAAAGACATATCCACGAGATCTTTCAAAATAGTTTTATACCTTCCATGTTGACAAGATAAAATTGACAAGATCAAAATGTAAATTGTAATGAGTGGAATTATATATATTATATATATATATATATATATATATTATATATTAATGTATTATGAAAAACAAATTACATTATCAAATTATAGAAATATATATTGAAAGTTAAAATGCTTATTAGTAACGCAAAGGTAAAAATTCAATTATGCAAATAGCTGTTAATACAATAATTGTATGCTTACACACTATCATTTTTTGTTTCTCCTTTATATTTTACTTCTTTTCTTTCTTCTGGATTTCCTTATTTTGTGTCTCTTCCTCCTCTTCGACTTCTTTACTTTGTTTCTCCTTTTTTTCTTGGATTTCTTTATTTCGTTTCGCTTTTTTCTCCTGAATTTCCTTATTTTGTTTCTCCTCCTTCTCCCAATTTTCTTTATCTACTTGTCTTTTACTATACTTCTTTTCCAGATGAAGTTGCTCTATCGCTTGATATCGTGCGAATCGCCAAATACACTAAGCTAAAAGCTCAAATATTCGATACTGATATACACGTACTTTTCCATAAAGATCCTGATTTGACAGGAGATTTCGTGGCTCAAAATTGATGAGACTGACACGACTCTTTGCGCAGAAGCCTTGTAAACAGAAATATATGGTTTTCTTTAATCATGTGTATTGAACATTTATTTAGTCCACATTTTTATTTAATATTATTCAAATATAATTGTACAAAGGAATTAAAATTTTACTAACAAAGCAAAATGGATTTTAAGATTTAATGAATTTTGTCATCTTAACGGCCCTTAACAGACTTTAATCGGTAGCAGCATTTCTATAAGTCTTTTTTTTTCTTGAGACTACAAATAAGCTACTCCATTTACTCTTAAAAAGTAAGTGGATCACATCAATTATTGAACGACGATTCGACAATGCCAATTTTCAAGAAGTTTTTATTTCCTTCCCACGCGCTTTTTTAACGCAACATCTTAAAACTTTTTAACATGATATTCCATGGGATGCATCATTATCATTCTAACGACACTATGAAGGTTTAGAGCGCCTATTATTGCGCCAATACCTAACAGAAATACTAAACTAAATTAAATTATAATAAATCTCGAAAACTTTATCTTTGTGACAATTACCGCGAAAATCATAGATTGGCAGCATCTTTTCACATATCAGATAAATAATTCCGCTCAATGCAATGATGATTTGTAATGGGTACATCACCTCGAAGAAAGAGAATATTTTTTATAATAAGAGTAAAGAATTCAACATTTTTAGGTAGTTTAGCTGAGAAATTAAACTATCTGTCAGCGGTGCCTTGTAAAATAATAAGTATAATGTATAATGTTTGTGTAGCGTCGAGTGGCTCACCGCTCGGTGCGATTGACTCGCGATCTGTAAACCCGAGTTCAATCCCACGTTCGCCCAAACGAGATTTTTCATTTAATGAGCCAAAAAATGACTCCACCTGGTGATCAAAAGATCTATGATCATCAGCGCCGTTCGGATTCGGCGTTGTAGGTCCTATACATCAGTATACATCAATAGATATTTGTCTCTGACTGAGGTAGGATTCTGTAGATCAATCACCTACAAATCCGAAAACAATTTGATTCGAGAAACGAATATAGGCCTTGGACAAAAGTGGAAGAGGCCTGTAGACGTCCTATGCTCCACATGAGGAAATAAAAGGAGTCATTATCATCATAATGTTCTGTAATATATAGTTCTGTTACAAATAATTACAAGAAGTCAGTTACTAATGTTCATCAGATGACCTAACCAGGCTGATCAGTTTTATTATTCTAAAAAATTGGTTTATATAGACACTAATAGTATTATCATTTCTAATGAATAATTCTCAATTCTTTTTTCGCCAGTTCATCAGTTCAGTTTTTTTTTTCGAAAAATATCGGAAACTATCTTTGTATTTATCACATAAAAATTTAAATCCAATTTATTTAAAAATATTTATTATAAAAAAGAACGGAATTACAAAATTACAAATGATAGAAAGTTACATATATAATAACTGATATGCACCATGATATCAAAAATAATTAAAAATTCTAAACGTTTTAATGAAAAAGAAGCAAAAATGCAACTTAATAAGTGGATCAGTACAAGTCATTAATATTCTTGAGACGTTCCATGTCTCTTTAGTCCCACCGATAGTCAATGGTGTTAGTTTTTTGTGCGCGATGTTTCCGCCATTTTTTGAAGTCCACGAAGATGAATTGCAAAATCCAAGGTAAAATAAATACACTATTCATTACTAGTAGAGAAATTTGATATATTTTGTAGCTACCAGTCCAATCCTTGATAATTCCTGCAACAAAACACACATACGATGTTATTTACATCAAAAATTGTACAACAGTCTTTCTCAATTTACCTACGATGGCACCAAAAATTATTGTAACTAAACTGCTGATGACAGCGTTGATACCATAAGCTGAGGCAAATTTTTCTATGTTGAGGTCTTCTATGATAACTAAAGGCTGCGGAACTAGCAGCCACGATCGCACAGCGCCGATTAACGCTATCGTAATTAACGCTCCTTTAAGCGTATGCTCATATAATAGAAAGCCTATACATTATAAGTTTTATACATTTTAGAAACAAAAGTTAGCAATATTTACGCAATTATAGGATTAAATATGTTTACCTATTCTTGCGAATCCCATCAAGATTGTGGCAGTAAAAAATATATACTTCGATTTTATGTTTATTATCAGTGTAAAAACTGACAACAAAATTTTTGACACTAGCTCAGCAATTCCACTAATTGTGACACTCAATGCGGCATCGGCTTTTGGATATCCTGCATCGGTCATCATAAGTGGAAGAAGAGAAGAAAAGTCAAAATCGGCATTACACACAAAACTGACGCCAAAGCACAAATTTATGAAACAGATGTTCTTCACCAGGGACATATCCACAAGTTCTCTCAAAATGGTTTTGTACCTTTCATATTGGTAAGATAAATTAAAGTAAATTATAAAAAAAAGCTATTATATAATATACTATCACGAAAAACAAATTACATTATTGAATTGTAGAGATACAAGTAGTAAGTTAAAACACAATAGTAACAAATCCGCTAGGACCTGAAAAACCTTAAGACGTACAAATTATATATTTAACTATGCAAATAACTGTTAATAGTATGCTTACCCTGTCACCTTTTGTTCTATTTCAGTGTTTTGTTTCTTTCCATTCTCCTGGATTTCTTTTTCTTGTTTTTCTTCCTCCTCCTTGACCTCTTTACTTTGCTCCTCTTTCTTTTCCTGGATTTCTTTATTTTGTTTTTCTCCCTTCTCCTGGATTTCCTTATTATGTTTCTCTTCCTTCTCTCGATTTTCTTTATCTACCTGTCTCCCACTGTATTTCTTTTCCAGATGAAGTTGCCTTAAATCGCTCAATATACAAGTCGTGCGAGTCGCCAAATTAACTAAGCTAGAGGCTGAAATAGCCGATGTACGTCTCGATAAACTTTCCCATATAGATCCTGATTTTGCTCTTCCACGACCCTCAATTGCTGAGACTGACGCAACTCTTTGCGCAGAAGCCTTGTAAACAAAATTTTATAGCTTTTGTTAGTTGTTTATGTCGAACATCTCTTCCGGTCCAACTTAATATTATTCAAATGGAAGTGTGTAGAAGAATTAAAATTTTGACTGACAAAGTAAAATATGGATTTTAGGGTTTAATAGATTTTGTCTATCACCTTAACAATCAGCAACGGCATTTCTGAGCTTCTTTCTTCCTTGAGACTCCGAAGACTGCTCCATTTAGTCTTAATAGATAAGTGAACCACGTCAATAGTTGAATGACGATTCGATAGTGCCAATTCTTGAGAAATTTTTTTTTCCTTCTCACGAGCTTTCTCCGCACGAACATCTTCCAGCTTTCTAGCATGCCATTCCACGGGATGCATCATTATCATTCCAACAACACTATGAAGGCTTAGAGCGCCTATTATTGCCGCAGTACCTAAAACAATGCAGAACAAAAATTAACTATAATAAAAATTTCTAGAAATTTATTTTTAACAAATTTATTTTACCGCGAAAACCGTAGATTGGCAGCATCTTGTCACATAATGTAGGATAAATAATTCCGCCCAGTGCAACGATAACTTGCGACGCGTACATCACCTGAAGAAAAAATAAATAATTTAGTCAGCTAAAAGAATTCAACGTTTTTAAACAGATCCAATTAATAATCTATAATTGATTTACTTTTGCTCTTTTCTTTACAAAGTACGAGTTGAAAACCGTGTTGATAATTGTAAAAATTAAGCCCATTCCAAAACCTTGAAGAAAACAGATAAAAGCCATCTCGTATATGTTTCTGACGAAAGCTATGATGATATTAGATAACGCAAAGAAGAGTGCACCTACAATTCCAACCGGCCTTGTAGAATATCTCTTCAGCAATGTATTGGTCAGCAAACCTGCAAAAATCATGTTTAATGTTTAAATGAAAAGAAACATAAATAAAAGAAATATTGTTTTATTAATATGAATAAAATGCAGTCTAAAAAAATGTAAAATTATGTATATAAAGGACTCTTGTTAATAAATAAATTTAAAAATGAATAAAGGGTATAAGAGTCAAAAATTAAAACTAATCTTATACGTCAATTAAAAAAAAAATTTTTATAGTTTGAACCAATGATAATGAAGGATTGCATTCAGTCGACCAACTATATTAGAACAGTTGATTTGTCGAAGTTTTATTCATCGGAGAATTCTTAACTGGAACATCCACTGCGTATCTATTTTATTTTTATATTTTTGATGTTGAAGATCTGAAGATGGCTCAATATAGAAGCCGAAACATGTAATTCTAATGTCAATATCATATTATATTGTTAAGAACATCAATCTTCTATTTTATCTTCGTAATAAAAATTTTTTTTTTAAATTGACATATAAGATTAATTTTAATTTTTGACTCTTATGCCCTTTATTCATTTTTAAATTTATTTAAAAAAATGTAACTTTTTACACACTAAGAATTTTTAATTTTTTAATAATTTTTATAATAAGACTTTTTATTTATTATTTATTTTATATTTTAATATCTACATATTTCTTATATATTATCTTGAAGTTACAAACATCTACATTTAGCAAAATATATTACTTTTAAACATTATGTTATTTAGATGCTTCACATTAATAATATAAATTTGCTTATATAATAATAATAGTTCGATGTATAATTCTATTTAATTTCTTATTTAAAGCCTTTGACTTATATTACAATAAAATTTATCTTCAGTATTTATTTGATGTATGGACCTTCATTTCCATTTTGGCAGTGAAAGCACATTTCTTCACTACTAATAATGATGCTCTAAGTTGATAATTATGATAATAAAATTAAGCATCTTTTTCATAAGCAAAAATTTGATTATGTTTAGATTCAAATGCTCCTTGTGATTTTTAAGTTTCGGAAACGTATGCATTATAATCACTTGCGTGCCGGTTCAAAACTTCGATTAGTACACCTGTCATTCAGTTTAATTTTTCGTATGAAAGTATCAGTGATAAAACTTGTAACAAGAAGCCGATGATTTAACTGACTTAACTGACATCGATAAGAACAGAACAATGACGTTTATTTCGAAAGCCACTTAATCTTCTTATCATTGAAAGCAAGTTTCTTCTTCCGAGGAAAGTTTATCACAGAAAAGAATATAAAAGTATACATTTTTATCAATTCAATATTTACAAATTATTTGTATTAAATTATATTAATAGAAATTTTAAATCAATGATTATATAGAAATGTAAAATTTTTACATTAATCTTTTCTTTAATATTAATTATTAAATACATGTTACATATACTTACTAGCAATAGAATAATTGACCATAAAGACAGAATTAAAAAGGCTTGATGCCATACCCGCCTTCCCGGAATTTTCGAGGAAATCGCCAAAGATTATAGCAAATGATGATGATGGACCTATTGTAGTGAACTAGAACAACGAGAAAAAGGATGTTATTAATTTTTCATTGCATATCTATATGCAAATTTCTTCACGTTTGTGTTGGAAAATGTTTTGAAATTATTTTTAAGCAAATATTATTTAGAGATGTATCCATTTCAATAGTTCTCAGTGTGTGTTGAATATCATAACGTAACTATAAATTGTTATTAAACTAACCATAATTAATATCATTGCTAGTGCAATCATCCATCCCCATCCACCGTCTGGCGCCAAATCTTCTAAAGTAATTTCATCCTCTTCACTTATTAATTCTTCTAACTTTCCAGTTATACCATTTTTTTCTTCAACAGCATTATTGATAGCGGGTGTATCTGTCATCGTGCCGTTGACGTCTGTCATGTAGCAATAATCACTTCTCTGGTTTATTCGAGCACTTTATAAAACGTTACAATATTTTCGCAAAATATAAAATATAATAAAAAAGTTATTTAGCCGGATATAAATTTATCAACGATACAAAAATAATATTTACATATTTTATCAGTGATAAAACTTGTAACAAGAAGCCGATGATTTAACTGACTTAACTGACATCGATAAGAACAGAACAATGACGTTTATTTCGAAAGCCACTTAATCTTCTTATCATTGAAAGCAAGTTTCTTCTTCCGAGGAAAGTTTATCACAGAAAAGAATATAAAAGTATACATTTTTATCAATTCAATATTTACAAATTATTTGTATTAAATTATATTAATAGAAATTTTAAATCAATGATTATATAGAAATGTAAAATTTTTACATTAATCTTTTCTTTAATATTAATTATTAAATACATGTTACATATACTTACTAGCAATAGAATAATTGACCATAAAGACAGAATTAAAAAGGCTTGATGCCATACCCGCCTTCCCGGAATTTTCGAGGAAATCGCCAAAGATTATAGCAAATGATGATGATGGACCTATTGTAGTGAACTAGAACAACGAGAAAAAGGATGTTATTAATTTTTCATTGCATATCTATATGCAAATTTCTTCACGTTTGTGTTGGAAAATGTTTTGAAATTATTTTTAAGCAAATATTATTTAGAGATGTATCCATTTCAATAGTTCTCAGTGTGTGTTGAATATCATAACGTAACTATAAATTGTTATTAAACTAACCATAATTAATATCATTGCTAGTGCAATCATCCATCCCCATCCACCGTCTGGCGCCAAATCTTCTAAAGTAATTTCATCCTCTTCACTTATTAATTCTTCTAACTTTCCAGTTATACCATTTTTTTCTTCAACAGCATTATTGATAGCGGGTGTATCTGTCATCGTGCCGTTGACGTCTGTCATGTAGCAATAATCACTTCTCTGGTTTATTCGAGCACTTTATAAAACGTTACAATATTTTCGCAAAATATAAAATATAATAAAAAAGTTATTTAGCCGGATATAAATTTATCAACGATACAAAAATAATATTTACATATTTTTACTTTAATTATTATTAAAAACAGGGAAAAAATAAAAATAATAAAAATATAATATTTTATTTTCGAGTCTATCATAATATTTGATAGATAAATAATTTATAAAAAACCAATTAAATAAATAATTTAATAAACATAATAAATTATTTTTTGAAATATCTAATTAATATGTAAATTTTATATTTATTATAAAATTATTTATAGATTATATTATTTATAGATTTTAAGATGTTTTTAGCAATATCAGATTATTGAGATCTTTCTAAGATGCCTTATGCCATGGATATTAATATTATTAACTTGTCAATTTATATAATTTGTGATATTACTACTCTAATTATGCTACGATTGCGTTTCAAGACTGAAAATTAAATTTGGCATGCTGTTTATAGGATATGTAATAATAAATATATGAGTTATTGAATATTTAAGCACTAAAGATTTAGCTTAACTATTTTTTGTGTATTCACATCATACTTATCTAATATATTGTTAAAAATATTTATTTATTTTATTGAATACTGTATATTTTCTTTCCGTCATATAAATTATTAAAAAATTAAAAGTTCTTGAAATAAAATAAAAATTTCATGTTAATATATTGACTTTAGGAGGTAATTGAATTAGGAGGTAATTCTTTTAACAAAAATATTGTAACATAAGATTAATTATTTCCTTGTTATCAGTTTTTTATATATAATTTATTTATAACAGTAGATTCTTTATGCAACATTTATTAGATTAATTCGATCAAACTATATATTTTGGCTATTTTTATTGCGTCGGATTTGAAGATAAGATTTAAGTATTTACCTAGCAGAATAACGATAGATAAATTTAAAGCACGTCAACAATTTCAATACACTTCCACGATAATCGAAGGTAGACAGTTTCCGACTAAGCGGGGTATGCCAGAAACGATTTCAAACTTCTTCTTATCTAAGTAGTAGAAGTGTCATCATATTAAATACCCATTCTTAAGTCAGAGTGAAATATTAGCACTATAGCATCTGTAAATACGGAATCGGAGAGAAAAAGAAAAAGCCAAAGTAAACGTAATGCCTTATGTACATTTTTCACGATCTTCGTAAAAGTGCTCTAATTAAATTAACTGTTATTTAATCGAATAATAAATATTGTTATTCTTTATAGCTAATTAATTGACGATAAATAAGATTAACTTATTATTATGAATTTACTCTAAATGTAGCAATAAAACAAATTGTCAAAGATTTAGAAAATATATAATGTTTTGTAATTATAACTCTTTAATATTTTATTTTTCTTTAAATATATATATATATATATATATTGCAGTACATGTATAGGTAAAAAAACTTTGTATCCTATACTAATTTTGTAGAAAAGTTTGCAAAAATTATATAAAAAGGTTTTAATAAAATAAAAGGTAAATCTTCGGAATAGGGGAAGCAGCTCCGATCTTCTTGACCTTGACATATGTTGTCAAGGTCATGACCCTGAGTAACTTTGCCTTAACAACTAGCCGTCGCTCGCCCTTCGTTAAAAAGATATTAACAAAAAAAGTTTCAAAAAATAACGTACTATTATACTGCTGTATATAATAAAAAAAACATTACTAAATGACAATAATGTTAAATAAACGTTGAATATCTATGGAGAATTTTATGTTACGATTCTAACGGATACAAGTTACTCATTATTTCAAAAAATCGTTCAATACGTTTGTCAAAAGTATACAGTTTTTTGAACAAAAATTCAGCTATGTAATGTTCATAATTGTACTCTCTTGTACCAAAATAGTACATTAGGAATGTCATGAACTTAAAAGAACTTTCACGCGAATCACAACTCACTCTCTCCTTCCCCACCCCCTGTGTGTGTGTGTGTGTGTGTGTGTGTGTTTCACTCGTTATATAACGATTATGAGTCTATTACTTGATGTTTTACACACCACACACACACACACACACACACACACACACACACACACACACGAGCGGGTGCAAGGGGGCGGCCTTCGGCCTCCGGTCACCCCCCCCGCACCCACACCGTCGTCAGAGGTCTGCCCCGACAGTACTATCATAGCAACAGTACAATCGTAGAAGTCGTGTGCCCCTGTGCAGGGGGAGGGAGGGGGGAGTAAAAGTTACTTCGCGTGGAAAGTCAAAACCTATGTAGAATAGTATTTAATACTGTATATATAGCAGAAATAGGACGTTATTTTTGAAACTTTTTTTGTTAATATCTTTTTAATGAAGGGCGAGCGACGGCTAGTTGTTAAGGCAAAGTTACTCAGGATCATGACCTTGACAACATATGTCAAGAAGATCGGAGCTGCTTCTCCTATTCCGAAGATTTACCAAATAAAAGATTAAAATAAAATATTTTAAGTATAATTATTAAGTAATAACATTAAGAAGAATAAAATAACCTTTGAGAAAAATATAGTCAAAACTGATAAAAAGAATCATTAATAAAAGCCAGTTTCTAAAAACTAACTGTTTATTGCAATTAATGACAGTGCAATCATTATATTAAAACAGATTTACTAGTTACCAATAAAAAAACTCAATATTTGTTTAATTTTTTGATTTATGTTGATACATAACTGATAAAATTTCTTTGCGCTGTCCGGTTTAGCCATCATTTAACTGATCAGTTATCCTCGCTCAGTTATTGTCCATTTGTCACCAGTTCATCATTTCTGTAAACTTGCACATATGAGAGATAAGAAATCTACGGCTACTGTGTGTGATTTATGTACATAACATTCAAAGATTTACGCCAGATAAGCGCGATATTAAGGTGAAAGATCTCTTAATGCTATGTCTTTTATTTTTCTCTGTATAATTCTTAATTCTTACTCAATTAAACTCCGCTGTATCCATCTGTCTATGGTGCCACTTGTACACAGTGACATGTTCTGTAATGATAGATTACATTAGTCAGTTACTGATAATGCTAGTGAGTTGGTGCCGAGTTTTATGTACATATAATAATTAATTTTTACATCAATATAAAAAATTAGGTATACTCTGAGTGCTGTCATAACTAACGACTAATTCTGAGTTTTTCAGCAGTATGTGTCAATTTTTAATTTAACAAAATATTGTGAAAGAAAACGTATATGTATAAATTTACGATAATAAATTAATACCTAGTTAAATTTACGATATTAGATTTAATATCTAGTTAAATTTACGATAGTAAATTAATATCTACTTAAATTTACGATAGTAGATTAATACCTAGATATAAAGAAATAGAAGAGTTTCCGGAGAACTTTTATTTTAAAGAAATTTACTTAATAAATTAGAAAAATAAATATTTGAAGAGATGTTAACGAATTCGAGAACTGATATCTTATCAATAACAACTGATAATAATAGTAATAATAACGTTTTTGATCACAGTTGATTTGAACAAATCTGAGATGAATTAATGACGTCACATGCTCTACTTATTGACGTTACAATGAAATACGCTTGTCACTGTGACTTTTTATTTCATACTGAACATCAAATATGCTGTCTATTTACATCTCTTATTTCCACTCCCATTATTGTAAAAAAATACTTAATTGAACAAACATACCAAGTAGAGCATGTGCAATGTCATTAACCAAATCGGTTCAAATGCAGTCGAAGACGACATATTTTTTTGACCTTAAGAAACTAATATTTAAAAACTGATTGTCAATTGAAGAACAAAATCAAAATCTGATGAAATATTGAAAAATTAGTCATTAGCTATTAATGGTAAGAGAGTTCCGTTTGCCTACAAAATAATTGCCGACAACTTTGTTTACGCAATATATATACCATAACGTACAGCACATTGCTTACATGGTGGTATTGTACATAGCGCATTAGATATTGAAATGTATTTTACATGTGTATCAAATGCACTGTATGCAATATATATTATATATATACAATATAATAGTATTTAATTTGATATAAGTATATATAACAATAATTTTATTTTAAAATAAGAAATTGTGCTATCAAAAAAATGTATTACAGAAAAACTAAAATAAACTGCACCTGAGTAATGTTTACTCGTCTTACATCGTACATCTCGCAATTGCCTAACTTAAGGCGTATTTTATAATTCATATCAACAAACGCCACAATATAATTATAAGCGCATTTACTATTCTATTTGTAATATATTTATATATTAAGGCATATTAAAGATTCAATAATATTAATATTCAAGGTCCATATTTATACTTTTTCTTTTATTGGTAATGTACGCATTTATTTCTGAAATTCTGTAGTCTATGTAACGTAAACTATACATATGCGGGAATTTATCAACAAAAGTTAAACGTAAATATAGTCTTTAACTTGTAATTTTTAAACTTCATAATAATTAGTTCTATTATTGCACAAGTTTACAACGTAAAAATACATTTATTGCGTTGTTATGTGATATTATAGTATAAAAACATTGTTGCACAATTATTGCAACAATTTTATTGATAAAAGCAGGTAACGTTTTATATATAAGGCCAACGTATACCTATCGCCTCTACAGTGCTATCTACATGTATATACAATATGGACACAGATAAAACGTCCAACCAACGAAGGTCGACCAGTGCTGCAAATGATTCGCTTGTGACCACAGTGGATACTGACGTTAACAATTATTTGTCAATTATATCAGCTGTCTCAGATTACTCAGACTGACGAGCAGTAAAAACGTTTGTGCTGCTGAGTAAGAAATAAGTTCAGCGTGAGTAATGTATAAAACGGTACAAGAAGTAGTCAAAGAAATTTATAGAAAAATCAATTTTTATGATTAACGGTAAGTTCTATTATATTTATTATTTGTATACTATGCATCAAGTAATAATTTAGTATAGTTTCTGTGGAGACATTAAAAATTACGACATTGTAGCACATACTATTGATAACACAAAATAAAATGCTATTGTAATTTACATACATTCAGATAGCAAAGTAACGTTTTAATAACGTCTTATTGATATGAAAGACATCATTTGATGTCATTTTGACAGCTACCTAAATAGCTGTTACAATATTATTTATTTGGTAAAGCTTATTTACAATTATTGCACAATTTATAATCTTGCACATATGTTATCTTTCACTCTAGATAACATAGAAAATAAAAGCATAAATGATAATGCACATTATTACTTGTAATTAATGATATCAATATTAAAGAAAATTTATTACGCAAATCATGAGTACTTTTTCGAACATGTGACAATACGTACAAAAGATATGTTTTCATTCAGCATATTCGCCAAATCTGAATTGATTATACCTTGCGTGTGCCTATAACTACTTCAATTTATTGAATACCAAAATAATTTGTCCCTGATATTATGTAATATACATGTTATATATATTATTTATTGCTTTATATAGTTTCAAATATACGATTTGATTGACTACACACGCAACGATTATTCGTTCAAAATCCCCCGCTTGACCAGTGTATTTTTCCACAAGAGTGGGAGACGAGTGAAGAGAAGTAAATAGACAAGCGTATTTGACGCTTAGTTTGAAACAGAAAGTCACACAGTGACAAGCGTACTTATTTAATTGGCGCTTAGTATCAGTATCAATTAGAAAGTGTTCATGTGACAATATCATATAAATCATATTGATTTAAAGAGATTGTTGGCAATTTAGCTCTCGATAATACCTTTTAACATTAATAACGTTAATAATTTATAGTAAACTGTGTGAGAAATCGTGAATGATGACAGAAAATACCAAAAATGTTATTAAAGGACAAGCTCCAGATGGTGGCTGGGGTTGGTTTGTTTGTCTTGGAAGCAGTCTAATTACGGTAAATATTAACAGAATTATTATTATATTACTGTTGTACAAAGTTTGAATTATTAATTCACATTCAATATAAATAATAATACTTATATTACAAAGAAAATAACGAAATAAAATTTATTATTAGAAAAAATATAGTATTATATATATAGAATAGAAAGCGGTAAAGAGAGAATTTTTATAAAATTTCTTTATTTTATAAAAACGGTTATTTTATTTTTTATCTTTATTTTTACATTATACTATAGGCTATTAAATATCCTTCAGTTCTAAGTATATACATATATCAATATTGATAATTGTAGGACACACAATAAAAACAAGATAGAGTTTTATAGAAGGTCATTTTTAATCATTTGCAATGATAATAATAATTATACATATATACATACATGTATAGAAAAATCTTATTTATTATATTATATTCTGTTAAAATAACAATATAAATTGTAGCTCTCTTTGCGATCCTTGGATCCATCATTCGGATTATTATTTAAAGATCTGTTGAAGGATCTCAACGTCGATTCCATTGGGACATCAGTTATAATGAGCGTCTTAGATGCTATTGTCAATTTTTCAGGTAAAATTGATTATAATATAAAAGTGATTTATGTAATATACAGTTTACAATAAAAATTGTAATTATTATGTTATTTTAAAAAAAAAGGTTATTTGTTATTATTAAAATAATCATAAATTTACAGGCTTTTTAGTTGGTCCATTATTAAAAAAATATTCTTACCGACAAGTTGCATTTTTTGGATCTTTGCTAAGCTGCAGTGGTTTAATAATTACATCGCAAGCTGATAGTATAATATATATTATTTGCACTTATAGTATATTAGGAGGTATTATATACATAGAATCTACCAATTATATACTTTTACCGTCTAAAAAGTTACAAATATGTATTTATATAAATAAAGTTTATTTTATAACTACATATATAATTTATCTTACGATAGGTTTAGGTACCGGCCTTGCCATGGCTTCCTCCTTCGTTGCATTAAATACATTTTTCGACAAAAAACGTGGACAAGCAGTAGGTTTTTCTATGGCAGGAACCGCGTTAGCAATGATGTGTGTACCATTGGTAAGTTTGATGTACATATCTACATAGATTTTTGAGAAGAGAAAAATTTTTAGAATTAACTATTTATTTGTTCAGTTAGTACATATGCTTCTGGACGTATATGGATTTCGCGGCACAACACTTATCGCCGGAGGATGGGCATTACATTCTTTAGTAGGATCATGTTTGTTACGTCCACTTAAAGAACGATCGTCGATACTACCAATCAAGGTTAATTATTTTAATTCATAAAATATTGAATTGTTAAATAGTTCACGCAACAAAATTTTTGACATTCCAAATTTTTATATTAAATTATTAAAAAGAAAGAATGTGTATGTTACTTTTATTTATAATAATTTTTATCTATAATAATATCGAAAAATATCTAATACAAATTTTTCGATATACATATTTTTTTTAGAAAGAGCCTGATGAAAAACCAGAGAATGAAGCTTTATTAATGAAACCGACTCACACTGGAGCACGAAGAATGTCAAATGGATCAATGTGGGCCAAAGATCAAATCGCAGACATCGAATCAGTGTCACGAAAGAAATCGTTTATGAAGAATCTAAAAACATATTTCGACTTGGACCTTCTTAAAAATTCCACTTACTTAAATACTGCTTTAGGTTGCAGCTTTTTTTATGTGGCTGAGTCAAACTTTAAATTAATGACTCCTTTCTTTCTATCGAATCTCGGTGAGAGTTGCAAATATATAACTTAAATGTAACCAGTACCGTAGCAAAGGATGTGTATTAACTTGTTGAAAGAGTTCTCGTGTGTTCTAAACATGAAAATATTGAAAATTATTTGCGTGGCATATATCCAAATCTGTTTAGAGCGATATTGTAGGGACCTCGAAACACACCGATCTCAGCAAACATCCTCGCTACGGCACTGCTCGTGAGTTACATAAACTACTCGTAGGAACTTGACGAATGGCAGGAATGAAACAAGCGGAGGTAGCCTTTTGTCTGTCGCTGACTGCATTCACCGATATCCTCGCTAGGTTGCTGTTACCAACACTATTCGACAAATTCGGTTGGAAAAAACGCATAATTTTTTGGATTTCCGGCTTCCTCGTTGGAATTACACGCTCCAGTAATTTTCTCATTAAGTTTAAAAGAGTTATTATTAAGCTTTATTACTGCAATGCACATTTATTTATAATTTATTTAATTATAGATGATGATTTTTAAAATTACACATTAAATTATCATAGAATTTTTTTATTAGAATATATGTGTAAAATAAATATTTATAATTAAAACGGTCAATCAACAAAAGTTTAATACAGAATACAATTTTACAAAAAATTATGAATATATGTAGAGAAATATTTTTTTTTTCATAGTACTAGCGGAACAAACAGAAAAAACACCGTTGATTGCTACATTAGTAGTAGCTGGATTTCTACGTGGTGCTACATTGGTGAATTTAAATCTCTGCATATCCGAATGTTGTACTTTAAAGAAGCTACCAAGTGCATTTGGAATATTTATGGTGTTTAAAGGCTTATGCGTAATCGTTATGAGTCCTTTAATTGGTACGTTTTTATACTGTATTTTATAATGTAAGAGATAATGTTTCTTATGTATTAAAATAATCATGCGTAAATTAATCCTTTGTATGTACTTTCTGTTAAAAAAGGATACATCAGAGATGTCAGCGGAAGCTACAAAATCTGTATTCACGTGATGACTGCCATGATATTTGTCACATCTGTCGTGTGGAGTACTGAATTTTTGTATCGTGTCTTTTGTAGACAACTTGCTGTTGTTAAGAAATTACAACGGAGTGCAACAGAATAATATTTTAAATATAGTAGTCTCTTAAAATTTCCTATTGTATTTTTATCAATTATGTCAAACTCTTTCAATTTAGTACGATATAAAAATTGTGATCAAATAAATCATCCATTTTTCCAGTAATTTTCTCTTAAATTAATAATTTATTTTTACAATACATTTAATTTTCTATTTAAAAAATGATGCATCAAAGTACGTTAAAAGTGCTTAGTGACTTCGTAATTTGTAATCTTTCCGATGAACTGATGTATCTTATCTACTATAAATGTTTATACACTACGTATTTTTACAAGTGCAACAGATTTTCTTCTTGATTATCCGAAAAAACTTGCTTATCAAATCGGTTATTATTCTGTACACAAATAAAAAAAATCTAAACATTATATTCTCATATTTAAATTTGTCCGAAAAAATTATCAAATTGGACAAGTTTGATAAATATTTCATAAATAATTAATATTTAATTTTATATCTGTTTATGCTTTTTTCTAAAAAAAAAGAAGCTGCATTTTTTATATCAAATTACAGCAAAGTGCTTCAATAAAACGAGATAGAATTGTGACTGATATGACCAAGTGTAATATAGCGAGCTTGTGCCGTTGCATTTACGCGACATAATGAAACACATTTGTTAATTTGCATTGAATTCACAAAAGCATCTATAAATAATAAGTATCCCCAACGTAGCACTGCACGGACGCGTGCGTTCAGACGAGTAAAAACATTACGAACGATCGTGCTTGGTCTCGAATAGAGTAGCGGAGCCGGTTTTCATCGCACTTCTTTCTCTTCGGTCAGTCTCGGATCGTCCGCAGTTCGTGCCAGAACATATCTTCCTCGGCTTTATGCGCAGAATATCCGCATCGGAGCATGTTATAAAATCCTGTTCGATATTTATAAAAATTTTCAAAATTGACATGCGTGTGAGTGTTAATGTGTGGTAGTATATTGCGGCATTTTCCTATTGTACTTAAGAATGCACTCCGATATAATTGCTTGCCAACGCAGAAGTTTAACGACTTGATTAAATGTTTTCGCTTGATTACAAAGTAAGCAATTCGCACAAGAAAAAGGGAGAACAACTGATTGTGAGTCATTAAGACAGATAAAGAAGCCAAGGCGCTAATAAAGAACAAACAGAATAACAAGTTAAACATGTTACTTTCATGCTATTTCTGTACTGTTTAAGTAACTAGTTGATCAAGTCAACATCCATTTTCATTTGCACTTAATTTCGATTACTGTAGATTTTTAAGAAAACAAAAAGAGGATAATTTGAAACAATGTCAATTTTGTTGTAAACTTACAGGTAGAGTGAATTTGCAAAAACTGTTAAGTAAAGAATTTTATCGGTAGTTTCTAAAAAATTAATTGTTATAGTTTAAACAACATATCAAGATCATTATTCTATTATTCGTTATATAATTGAGGTCGATACAGTCAATTGAGCTGAATTACGACGAGTAATTGAGAGCTCATTCTTGCTATTAAATATAACTATTTTATTAGTTAATTGAAGATTAAACCACACGGTTACGATAAAAAGTGTAAATATGTGAATGTGTAATAAAGAAAATGCAGCTGTTTTAATTTCAAAAAAACTACAATTCATACGTGGTTATACATATGTATAATAAATGATATACATAACAGCTGAATCGAAATGAGAGGGGCTTTATCCGCAGCGCGTATCTTATCACCTGTCCAACTAAATTTGTGATTGTATGTTCGTTGTCTAGCAGTTAGGTTTGCAGTTTATTGATGATACGAACACGGGCTACAATTGAAAATCTCTAGAAATTTACACTCTCATGATATACTTGTAGAATAGCGATTGATAGAATGGCAAGTAATATGACAGATCGGGGCTGGGCATGGATGATTGTTGTTGGAGTGACTGTTATCAATGTAAGTTTTTTTTTTAATAATAATAAAATGAGACTTTTTCTCTGTGTATAAAACTTTATTCTATATTTTATTCTCCAATTTTAATTTTAATCTTAAAATTGTTTTAATAATTTGAAGCTCTAACGAAGAATAAACTAAATACATTTATGAATGAAATTATTCAAAAATCTGTACATATATTCTGTCAATATATGTAACATTTTTAATGATAAATTTGATAATATTCTATTTTTAATAAGACATAAAGTCTTGTGTAAATAAAAACTGATTTAGACATTTAGACATTCTTAAAAAATTCATATTTTTATTTTCTTACAAGATTATAACCTTTTACCTAAAAATGTTATAATAGATAATATTTTAAAAGATGTGAATATTACGAAAATTGAACAATGTAGTCTCACGAGAATAATTGCGATTTCCTTTGTTAGCTAGCCGTACTTCCGGTCCAGCAATGTTTCGGCCTTATCTTCGCAGAACGTTTCGCAAGTCTCGGCATCACTGCGACGCAAACGAGTCTGATTCTTCATCTTAATGGAACAATAACATGCAGTCTCGGTCTCATAAGTGGTCCAATGATGAAGAGATTCGCTTTCCGTCAGGTCGCATACTTCGGCAGCTTGACAGTCGTCCTCGGAATTTGCGCCGCTGCCTTCGCAGTTTCACTCCCAACTCTTATTATCACTTACTGCATTGTCATTGGTAAATAATTCACACTATAGAATATCAAGGCATAATAATGAGAACTATAATGACGTGCCATGTAATCGTTTGTATTGAACGCCACTGTGTTCTATTGAGCAAAATAGACTCGTGCAGAGTAAAACTATAGTATACATAAACAAAGGAATCTTCAAAGCATATTGATTGTTGCAACGTAATTTTTGTTCAGTATTTAGTAACACTCAATATTACAGCTTTTAGTACTCCAGTAATTTCAGTTACCACACAGAACAGCAATAATGTAATTGTATTATCATTAATCTCTAAAATTATTTTATAACTGGAGAGATTTGAATTCTAATATATTAATTACACTATTATTGTTTTAAAAAGATGACAGTGTTAATTGCAAAATATACATGTTTAACAGGTATCGGCCAAGGAATTCTTTTTCCAGCGACAACATTAGCTCTGAACACATATTTTCGCAAGAAACGTAATGTAGCTATGGGTTTTTCAGTTACATTAACTGGTCTGGGTCCAATTTTAATGCCCCTTTTGATAGATGTACTTCTCGAGAATTTTGCTACGATCGGCACTCTCCTGACCCTTGCTGGAATCGCTGCACATTCCTTCATTGGTGCATCATTATTGAGACCATTTGAAAAGAAGAAAGAGGTGAGTTTAAGGTACGTGAGCAATCTTACACCGATTTTCTTCATTTTTCATTATATATATTGTAGTCACTCTATTATCAAACATCAACAATATGCGAAATGTAAATTATATTTGGATGGTTCTCTTTCTTCTTCCATTTTTAGCAGAGTGCTCTGATAGACAAAACTACTGATATATCGAAAGAGGAAAATTCAAGTGTCGATGAAGCAAATGTAGAAAATAACGCTGTTCAATTATTATTAAATGAACGGAATGTTGAAGAGGAAAGACAACCAAACTGTCGTCCAGAGAATAGCGAAAGAGAAGTAAAAAAAGATAAACAAACTTCGTTCCTTAAAAGAATTGTTACAAACATGGATCTCGATCTTCTTCGTGATAATCGCTATATAGCGATAGTACTAGGTAGATTATATAATAATTGATCTCACAAGTCTTGTCGAAATAAAATTAAAATGTTGAGAGACGTATATAATACGTTCCTCAAAAACAGGTATGAGTGTCTCTTTGGTGGCCGAGACGAATTTCAACGCAACGATACCTTTCATCCTAGCCGAATTGGCGAACCTCGATAGAACGTCGATAGCTACGATAATGTCGATTCAAGCTGCCGCGGATATTACAGGACGCCTCTGTGTACCATTGTTGGCACAAAAAGCCGGCTGGACCTGCAGGAATCTTTATGTGCTATCTCTGCTAGGATCGACCTTTGGAAGGACTAGTACGTACCGCCACGTAAAATATACAAACACGAGGAATCTCTTCACGAGGTGATCTTTGGGGTGGGTTGACTAGATGGCTAAGTGCATATTGTATGAAAATCGATAACATTTACAAATCATCGATAATATTAATTATACTGTGACATATATCTAAATACTATAACATATTTTATTATGTTACAATATTTTTAATATTATTTGATTATATTATTTTATGTTATATCTATTTGAATTCAAACATTTATACGCACTTTTATTGATCTTCACATTTCTTATATTTTCTATAAACTTCTGTATAAAATCAGTTCTCATATTAGTTTCTTGACAGTTTTATCAACGTGGGGTGATACTTACGTCATTGTAATCGGAGTAGCCCTGATAATTGGATTGGCGAAGGGAACCAAAGCTGTCTTCCAAGCTCTAATCATTCCTAATTACGTACCATTGGAGAGGTTGCCGGCTGCATCCGGTATTCAGATGGTTTGTAATGGCATCCTGTCTATCAGCCTGGGACCAATTATTGGTAAAGAGAAATTTTTAATGTACAATAAGAACAATCTTCTCTCTCTTTTTAATGCTAATTCGATCACAAGATTTTATAGAGAAATATTATTATTGTTAATAAAATTAATATTAAATATAATGATGAGAAGGGTTTCCAGATAGTTCTTTTAGTTATCTTTTGCTATATATTTGTATAATAGACATTATAAAAATTTTTAGATCATACGTTTCGACTTTTTATTTTAAGTTCTCTTCTCTGATGTGTATAAATTGTTATAACGTTTGTTATGTAAATATATACAAATATATAACAGAAGATAACTAGTTAGACTCTGAAAACCCTTTTCACCATTATATTTAATTATTAATCATATAGAGTTTAATTTATATTGTATTATTGTTAAAATTAAATATTATTTTAGGTCTAGTGCACGATTCAACAAATAGTTACGTAGGTGCGCTTTATTTCACATCCTTTCTCAGCCTGTCCTGTGTCTTTCTGTGGTTGATAGGTGGACTGTGGATTTTTAATAGAAATAAGTTGAATGAACAAAATCCATCAGAAGAACAATAAAATTTTCATAAAAATACGTAATTGATTAAATTAGCAGCAATTTAATATTTCCAATTTAAAAATGTATAAAATATTGATAAAATATATAGAGAATTTTTATATATTATAACATATGTGTATACACTTTTTTTGTACTAAAAATTTAATGTGATAAGAACTTAATTAGTACACAATTAAGTGTAGTTGAAATTACAAATTGATGTTTAATTTTTATGCGTGTATTTTATATATACAATAAAAACAAGAGAAATTTTATGATTTTTAATTGCAATTCTTTATTACAATAATAAAAAAGATGCATATAGTAATTATAACTGAAGTAATTAATAAAAAAATTGTAATACTCTTTGTGCTACATATTATTGTTAATTAGAAAACAAAAAATTAATATTTGATTATTGTTAGATAAAATACGCACATAAGACATTAGTCAAAATTTTATCTGACAATAATATAAAGTTTTATTACAAAATGTTGATAATTAATTATTGATAATTAATAAAGCAGTTAAATGACATAATAAACATGATCGTATATTATCTTTCTATTGTTCAAACACGAAAAGAAAACACTTTTACTGAGGTATCTAAAAATTTAACTAAGTTATGTTTGTTTGTTGATTATCGCCGTGTTGCCGTTCATATTTAAAGCCAACATTTCGTGAACCATGTCGTTCACTTCATCAGGGCAAAGAATGCACTACATGACAATGAACGACAACATAGCAATAACCCGCAAACCTTCTGATATAATTAAAGATAATACCTGTAAAAGCCTCAAATGCGTTAAGTTAACTAAATACTAAAAATAATGGTGTTGAACTGCCAAAATAATTATATAGAAATCTTAAGCACAATCAGCAATACTGTTTCTTGTTCTAGCAACTAGTTTAGTCGTTCTGCATAATTATTGTGATAATGTAACAAAATTATTTTCACATCTTTATGTATAGCTAAATTTTTAGATACTTCAACAAAATCCTCCTTTTCATGTATTTTTAAAATTATGTATATAGGTTCAATATATGTATATAACAATATTCACCTTATAACATTTGCAAAGATATATTTTCTCGATTTTAATCTAACAATGATCTTCTATCATACATAACTCTAATTATATCTGTATTAATGTCTACAAATAAAAATAATCAGATTAGATTAACTGTAAGCTGAGACGTCTTCCTATCTTTGATGAAAGTATTCTACGTTAGTGCAGTCTTTATCATTCCGCGAGACGTAACATGATCGAACTAGAACAATATGTTAAATTTTATGTTATTTATCTGTGCATGTTACAATCGGTTTACTAAATCAGTTAAATTTGTAAATTAATTTTTTAAAAAATAGTAAATTGTATGACAGTTGTTTATATGTATGTTGTGTAATACTTTAAATATAATATAGTAGAGCAAGAAATATTTAAAAAAGAAGGAAGAAAAAAAGAATAACTTTTTTATCTTATAATTTAATATAATTGTATATAAAATATATTAATATATTATATTATATATACGTATATATATATAAAATTTAATTGTTTATAAATATTTATCAAGTCTTTTAACAATAATATTATATCTGTACACAGAGTTTTGTAAAAAAAAATTACTTATGATAAATAAAATAAGATCATTTGTGATTTAATAAATTATAGATAGCATAGGTAACTAAATAGAATCGTTAACGTATTCAAATAATCGCAGTATCGATCGCAGATAAGATTAATCACATATGAAATCATCGGAAATTGCAAGTCACGATTATTACATAAAATCATTATTATTATGAAATGATTAATCCAAGCGATGATGCAAATCTTACATTTTAGTGATTAGAGTGTTCTTGCGTGCAATTGTTGAGTAAAATACGATATCCCAACAGCAGTGAATGTGAATAAATATAAAAACAAGCCTTCATTCAAATATTTATTTAATAACGTGAATTTTTAGTGTCACACGTAACATTTATTTTTAATTAATTAATATTGAATTTTATTTATATTAATATATTATTACGTAATTTAATGTTATATTAACTTGTAAAATGTTTGCGAAAGTGCCGCCAAATGGGGGATACGGATGGATTATTGTCATAGCGGGAGCATTAAATGCCGTAAGTTATAATTAACGTCTTATCAGAAACACGATACAAAATATGTCATTTACTAACATTTTTACCTCGAATAGAAAACTGAGACTAATTTAAATAAAAATTTTATAGCTATCTACCGTTCCGGTTATACAAGGATTCGGATTGATATTTAAAGAATCTTTTGCAGCGCTTAATCTAACTGCAACAGATACGTCAGTTATAATTAATGTAAATTTGGCATTTGGTATGGTACTCGGCTTAATCAATGGACCCCTCTTGAAGATCTACGGATATAGAAAAGTGGCGATGGTTGGAACTATAATATATGCAGCTGGTATAATATTGACAGCATTCGCCAACACCTTTACTCTTATTATGATTTGTTATGGAATGCTAGCCTGTAAGTAAAACAAAACCATTTGTCAAATATTATTAATAATGTTTTAAAGAAATTATATTAGATAATAGTATATATTTATATAATTCTAAAGTATTATATGAAAAATTATTTTGGTTACTATAATTATAAACAAATACTCATTATTATGTAAATAAATTGAACAAGAAATAGTCATTATTAAAGTATAATTTTATTCATTGGGCATCAAACTTCGCAAGTTTTTTTAAATACAAGCGTATATATTTACGTTGTAAAATCAATTCATTCAATCAAGTTTGTTTATATAGCTATTGGTATGAGTACATCAATGGCTGCATTCTCTTTGGCGACCAATACTTATTTTACTACGAAACGAGGACGAGCTATAGGCATGAGTATGACTATTATGGGGATAGGTCCAATCATTATGCCTCAAGTAGCATCCTTTTTACTTTCATTTTATGGTATTCAGGTATCGTAAAAGTTTTGATAAAAAGACAAGAAAATTTAACAAATCAAAGAATTTAACTGATTGAAAAAATTTAAAACTCTTTAATATGCTTGAGAGACGTGTAGAAGATAATTATATAAAATAAAAATATTGGAATATGCAGAGTCAATTCTGCTGGACAAAAATATAATTTGTATATACATATACGTATACTTAAATATCTCATGAGACATCTCGTCTGATGTGGTTTTACGATGAATGTTATGATCGTAAAGACCAATACCAATTGCTTATCTATTTAGGTCGGACAATGAGTGTTTGTTTATTTTCTTTTACTGGTTGCGATCTACAGCTAACTTATATGATCTTCTCTCTACTCGCATTGCCATTCTGTAACATCAAGAAGGCATTTATAAATGCCTTCTAACAATAAGTCGAGGATTAAAGAAATACACTTCACTCTAGTAAAATATATTTCTTTAATTCTCGATTTATCAAATGTTATAGTTATACCTACAAATTGCTGATTGTGTGTGTAAGACAAAAATTAGTATAAATTTTATTAAACATATATAATACGAAAGATATAATATTAAATAGGGAACCATTTTGATATTTGGCGCTTATAGTTTTCACTCGATGATAGGCGCAATACTACTACAACCGATTAAATGGCACATGATAAATGCGCCCATCTGCTTAGAGACAGTCATTGAAAATCCTAAAATTCTGACTGATAATAATGATAAACAAGGTATTTGTTAATTAAAAATATATACATAACATATATTTTTTAACCATTTTATCAATAATTCGGAATTGCAGACATTACATCGAATCATTACGAAGAAGATGAAACGAGTATATACTCTTCGACGCTAAATAATTATCAGAGGAGAAGGAAATCAACAATATCTAGTATCAACCATGATTTTGAAGTTGGAAGCATTTATGGATTCGATACGTCCTTACCTAGACAGATTTCTATAGACGGTACAAGTATGTGCCAACTTAATTGCCTTATTAATTAATAATAAGTAAACTAGTTGATGAGTAAAACAAAAAAGCGGTGCTAAAACACAAATTACACATTTCAGTATCTTATGATTCAAATTACAACATTGAAATGTCGGTTAACAGAACATCAAGGACGAGTTTACACGATAATCGCAGGGATTCAAAATATCTATGGAATTCATGTAATTATGATTATATTGTGATTATATATATATATATAAATTTTTACAAACGCAACAGATGTCAGAAATAAATTCAGATTTATAATTAAATGATATGGAAATAATGTACGTATTTTTTCAGCAAGAAGTATGGATAGTATTCATCTTGGTAGCAGCATAAAAATTTTTGACGAGCCTAATCTATTAACGAAAAAATTGACCTTTGTCGATAATAATGTAAACAAAAATAATGGTATAAGTCAGAACGTTGCGGAAAAAGACTCACTATTAGAGAAACAAACGAATGAATATTCAAACAAAGAAAATAATGACGATTAGTAAGTATGAAAGTATATATCTACGATAATAAGTGATAAATAAAATAAAATAATGTTTCGTATGTTTCTTCTTTCATTGTGTTAAATAATATTAATATTGATACAAAATTATCTTCTACATAATAGAAATACGCGATTTACAACATTCTAATTATACAGTAAAAACTAATTAATTATATAAGATATTGTTTTTTAATACAACAAGTGAAATAATAATCATGTTACAGTGGCAAAAGCAGTTCATCCGTTCATCGAATTCTACGACGAGTAGCCGACCTTTACGACTTTGATCTTCTACGCGATCCGATTTACGTGAACATCATGTTGGGAATGTCAATTGCAATTTTCGCGGAAATAAATTTCTCTGTGTTAACACCGTTTATTCTCGCCGATATGGGTTTAACGACAGCAAAAATTGCCAACATCATGAGCGTCATCGCGATAGCAGATCTCATAAGCAGAGGCGCGGCACCTTACCTGGGGGAGTGGTTGCGTCTGTCACCCAGGATGATGTATATGCTCAGCCTATTTCTTCTGATAATCAGCAGATCCTGTAATGTATACCGATTACTTTCAATTATCGAGTTTAAAAAAAAAAAAGAAAAGATAAGGAAAGCAAAAGTTTTGATATAGCGATAGATCGATCTTTGATTATTTTTTACCGCAGCATTGCTTTTTGCAAATAACTCCGCTTCAATGGTGGTCGTCGCAATCGGTTTGGGAGCAGCAAAAGGAATTCGATCGGTATACATGGCTTTAGTTGTGCCTAGTTACGTTCCCCTTCAAAAGTTACCCAATGCTTCGGGGATTCAGATGCTGACCAACGGAATGATACTCATGAGCGCTGGTCCCATGCTTGGTATGCGAATAATAATATGTATATATATATATATATGTATAATGGTTAAATACAGCCATTTATTCTTCGGGTGTAATTTGTCAAATGTTGAAAAACTTGAATAATAAAGAGTCAACTTGCTACAGGTGTACTACGAGATAATACTGGAAATTATACGATTTGTATTATCTTACTTAACTGCGTGACCACTATTACTTTGATTCTCTGGACAACGGAGATGCTTATACGAAGAAAATCTAACCGGCAAAAATTGCAATTATCAAGAACATCTCAACGCTAAACTGAATTATAAACAATTATGTTTCTGTAAATAAATAATTTCTAACAGGAGACAAGTTCCGTAGTAAAAATGCGATTAGTAAATAATATGTATCCTAAATATCCATATTATACTTCGTATATAAGAGAAAGATTATACGCGGTAATTTTCGATTTCTCAAATCATGAAAGGGAATTAAAAATTCTTCCGAGTTTCCTCTAAGCGGCTGCATGTTAAATCGTGGTCGCAATTAAGGTCGTGTCCTTGTTCGATACCATTTACCATGGAAATGGATCTAATTAAAATGTTAGTCCTCTACAGACACGATTGGAGTCTTTAAGACAAACAACAGCAGTAGACCTTGTAGACAATAGTACATCTTTTCCCACTATCTTCCGGCGGGAGTTCTCACGTTTCGCTGCGACAAGCAACGTGTGATCTTCTTGAAAAGACCTGAAAAGGAAGTTCGAAGGTCAATGAATTGTAGATATTGTTGCATCAAGCAAGTTAATTTATTCGACTCTGTTAGTTTCATTTCTTCTCTCGCATCAAGTTCTTGCTCATTAAGTATAACACCATTTTCATGACATCGAATGGTTATAATATACACACGATATCACCTAATTTTCCTGTGTATAATGACTTGATGTACGGATGTAATTTCATTTCTTTTCTGTTAAGAAAAATCTAAATATAGGAAAATTAAGAGATCTACTAAATATTTTTATTAAATATATTTTTAATACTATTGTATTAGAAAGAAAAGAAAAGAAACGAAATTACTTTCTATTTCAAATTATTACATAGAAAAATAGGTAATATTATCAGAAGACGCGCGGTAGTATCTCCGGCCATATCCAAAAACTGACTTTTAATATACGCAATTTATTATAACAATATAAAATATTGTTAAGTATTTCCAGATATGAAATTTAACGTTGATATATGAATTACTTTTCTATATGATTTTACTTATGAATGAAAGAACAAGCTCGAAATTCGCGACACAAAGTCTCATTTCACTGTACAATTGAATTGAGAAAACTGACTTACGCGATATGCATATAAGCGTATCACGTACGAGTGTATATTTAGATGCAGCAGTATTCAGATAGTCGTGACACTTCTTGGCAAACGTCCAGCTTTACGAAATCGGCGAAAGTAATCGAATGTGGTTGGTAAATGCATAGGTAAAAGGTGAGCTCAAATAACATACAAACGCGACAAGATTTCGAAATAACCACGCCCGCAGTTTTCTAAAATCGAAATAATAAAACGCTTTAAATTATTCATCACATTAATATATATATTATATGATTAATATATTGAATATCAGAAAAATAGTATTGTATAGAAAAATATGACACGATAAGAATGCTCCGAGAATCGACATCTCTAATTTGAAATCCAGTTCACGTAAGTCGGGTTGACCTAATTCATTAAAAAATACACATATATTATAAATAACCATCAATTCTCTTTTCGTTAAAAAAAACATTATTTTTTGCAACGTAAAGCCTTTTTATTAAATTGGATGTCAATTAAAATTTAAAACTTACGAAAAATATTGTATACAAATATTTTAAAACTAACAATAAGAAGTTTCATGCGAATTGTTTTTATTTCAAAATATTTAAATAGTAAATTGATTAACATGAGGATTTAATGTAAAAAATATGTGTACGTGTACTTTATATACAATATATATATTATATATATATATAACACATATACATATAATTACAAGAATAAGACATTTTACAATTTAAACACAATTAAAATGCAAAATAACTGCGTAATTCTTTTAGATAATTGAAATTATTACAAATAAGCTTATTTATGGATATAAAATTCATATTTTATATTTAAAAAATGTTTATTAACGATAATTTCAATGATAGAGACAATTTTGTAAGTTGCAAGTCATAATATGACAACATGATGCAAATCATGTCGTCTTTAATTTCTTATACTTTTCCATCTTATTATTAAATGTATAAAAAAACTTATATTAAAACTTAATAAAAATACATACGTCCGGATATAAAATACATTTATCCGGTGCACTGGCCACAATAATCACTTACGCATGTAGGTAGAATTGAAACATTCACCCGTTTGTATTAAATATCATTAAGTTAAAAAGTTTATCTGAGAAAATGAGGTCAAGGACTACTATTTTAACATAACACTATTTACAATTCGCTCACATCATTCACGGAAACACACTATCAAAATAGTCTGCACATACACAAATAATCGTCTTGAGCATTTTCTACACTTGATACGTCATCGTCTGGCACGCGACTCCTACAAAAATATTAAACAAAACAAAATAACATTAAACATTATTTTAAAAGTTTTAGAGATTTTTTTTGTAATAAATAAAATTATATTTGTTTAATATTCTGATTGTAGAAATAATTTTAAAAAATGTACTTTTAGAATGCTTTAAGATTTAAAATAAAATATCTGAAAAGTACAACATTAAATTGAATTTCTATATTAATAGAAATATTTATCTATATTATATGTTTATTTAAATATTGGAGAAAATTAAGTAGGGGAGAGTGGTCTACATCGGACTTATTTGCAGTTTTTGTTCTCTATAAGGCGTAAATAAAGTCCGATCATAAAACCAATGATGCTGTTCGAAAGATTATTTAATTTTCTTCATTTTTGCTTGAGACCATTTTGACGTATCTCTTACCTGTGTCGAACTATAATGGAAAACGTAAAAATGCATTTTTCATTATAATCTGACTTCATAGTTCCAAATCGGATCTTTCCTATTTTTATGGACTTTTAGATAGAATTTTAAAATATTTTAATTAATTTTTGTTAGTATTGAGTAAAAACGAGCAATTTAAGACTCAAAGACAAAAATACAGTTTATATTATTAGAATTAAAATCAATAAAAATTTCCATTAATCTGAGTCTGATGATATTTTATATTTAGTGTTCCTTAGACCAGATCTGGTCGGTCAATCACCATATACTACAACCAAGTTGTAGCGACCTTCTTTCTTTGATGAATTAGCTGGCTTACTCGTCTTTTTATTGTTTTTTGTATAAGTCCGATTTGCACACCCAAAGAAAGGTCCGATTTGGACACGGGTTCTTTCGAACTATTGGAACAAATTTTACAATAAACCTCAAAAGTAATCGCAAAACTCTTGATATTTTTTAATTCTACACTCTTTAATTATCTTAAATCAATTACCGATCAAATTTTTAACATCTTTTAAATAACGATTTACAAGGATTTTCTTTTTTAAACAAATTTTCGCATAGTAGCCGAAAATACATATTTGCGTCTATTCTATGAACATTACGACAGAGTACTACCAAATTGCTGTCACATGTTCGGTGTCTTATAAGGATTTTACGTTATAAATAGCACGCAAATCTGCTTAACCGTATTTATTTAAATTAAAAAGGTCCGATCTAGGACATTCTCCCCTATATCAATTTAAAAAATGTATATAACGGTATGCAAATTATATTTTAAAAGCATATTGGAACATTCTTGTTAAAGTTTGTAAAATATTAAATAGAAGATGTAATTTTGCAAAATAAAAAGTAAATTAATAGGAATTCGTTTTGAAATTTTAATTCTAAACGTTAACTCAATCATACATGCCTTCGAGAGTCTAGAATGCGGCGTAGGAGGTTCAGTATCGTTGTTATCGTATTCACTATCGGCAGGCGACGCAAACTCCTCATGTTCCATGATGCCCCACAGAGGAACACTTTCTGGACCTGTGGAAGCCACAGCCAAATTGTTCACAGCCTGGGGCAGTACTTGATAGGCTTTTTCGATCGATTCGAATGTATCGGACTTTTCCGTTGCCTTTGTATCTGTTTGCAAAGTTTTCTTTGATTCCTTCTTGTTTCTTTCTACTTCCATCAACACTTTCTCTTGTCTATACTCGGGATTTGATGTAGGAGTAGTTACACTTGGCTGAGGCGTTACTATATAAACGCGTTCTCTGTTCACTGAAGAAATTCCTATGGGAAAGCCTTGCCACATATCCTTGGATGCGGTGGGAGCATCAGTAAGACCTTCAGACTTTTCAATTTGCATTTCCTTAAACAGAAAATATGAAAAGAAAGATAAGGCATTATTTTTTATTATTAATATATTTATAATTAATAAAACTCTTATTAATTATTCATACTCGCGATCCTTCCGCACGATTGCTGGCCGATCCTTTATAATTTTCATCACTAAAGCTGAATCCGCTCAAAGTAATAACCTTATTATTATTATTGTGAGAATCAGTTGCGTAATTAACGGGCTTAGTAGTCATAAAGTACTCTGTAGGGATCTTTTTTGAACGGAAAAGGTATGGTTTGTTCGAATTAGGCAATATTGTACTAATAGTTGTGCCCTTTGAATATTCCTAAATTAAACACAAGTAAAAAAAAAACAGTCATTATTATTATTAATATCACATTTACTGTAAATATACATGCACTAGAACCAGCATTGAAATTTTTGGCATTGATAATAATTATCTCTATCGTTTCTTCCCTGTCCATAACTTATTTATCCCTTATCTAATTTATATTTAAATACACGTTTGTTAAAAACACATGGCATACCTGTATCGTCCAATTATCAATATTCTTTTGTAGTTTATGTACATCTATGGAATTGTTTGTTTTAGTATCAACTGATTTCTTAGCATCGTCAAATGTCTTCGGTAAAGATGGTAAAGGCTCTAAAGGTTGAAAAATATGTGACGAATTTGGAGGACTGATTACTTCAATTCTAGTTCTTGATTCTTCGCCGACGTAACTGTCATGATTGGATTCACTGGTGTCAGTATTTTTTTCATGCATTGGATGGAATGGAAGTGGTGTGTATTGCGATGTATAGGGAATGATAACTTGTACCTGAAAGTTTTGGTAACAGAAATACAGCTTATGACAATAAGATGATTTCTCTCCGAAGATGTATTTTTCTACTCAAGAAGCACAATCTTATCACCTGTCTATTCCTTGTTGCCCCTTGCTGCCCAGACGTTCCGTCCAAATTAACATTAATATTATCACTCACTGTTTCTTCCGCTATATCATCATTTAACAGGTTCCGAGATGATTTTCCGTTTATACCTTGAAATCGAAAAACAATTGATCTTCTTTTTTATCAAATTGCAAAATATTTTATTCTCGATTTTTTATACCTTGAGTTATGTTATTATTGATTTTAGATTCTTTTGCCACGGTATCAACTATCTCGATGTAATCTGTAGGAGGATAAGATTCCGTTGAAGCAATGCGTGTTCCGAAAATCTCATCGCCAAGTGCTACAGTTGTCCCGGTAATCTCAGTACGCTGAAAGTCCGCAAACGCGTTAGAGGTCGACGGTATCGAGGACGAGTGCGTCCGACTTTCATCCTTCTGCGTGAAATCTAGCAACAGTGACTCCTCAAAATTTATTGAATGTCCAATGTTTCCAGAAGACTCGTCTAAAGGTGCGTTAGAGCCCTCGGCGACGTTAGTACTGGAAGACAGGTCGTTGTATGGATGCTCGTAATTATTTGGTACTCGATCAAAACTGGAAATTCCGTAGCTGCTGGGAAAATTTTGATTAGTTTGGCTCACGTCAGATCCACTCGATCCCGTTACTTCATAAAGTTCTTCGTTATTAGATACTCCCGAAGTATGACCGTGAGACACTTGAGTGCCACTGGAAGACAGATCATTATGTGCCAAATTATTTTGATTGACATTTTCAAATTTTCCGTGGTTTGTACTGGGATTAGTATACCCTAGTTCATGAGAAACAACTCCTTCGCCTGAATAAGTCGAAGGACCTGGATAGACAGGTTGTTCGTTATGTCCACCATTGAAAATAGGTCCTGCACCGTTGGAAATTGATGATGATGGTAAGTTAAGGTGTCCTGAGTTTTCATCGGGAGTGACTTGTACAGGTAAAGGTTGATTAAAATTGACTGCTTTAAAGAGCGGTGGCATTGCTCCAGGAAACAGATGCGGATTCAACAATGGATTAATGAAAGAATCGTCCTGTCCAGTATTGGGCAATACTGGCGCATGAGAGAAATCCGGAGCTCTGACTTCTTGCGAGGCAGCATGATAAGCGTCATGAGGTATTTCTTGATTTGTAGGCAAGTATCTACCTGACGATTCAAGTGGCGGTGGCGCATACGAAGCGTCTCCTAAATGTCCGTCATGTCCTTGATGCGTGTCCTGTATCGGTACCCAGGGGATTCTGTTGCAAGAACTGCAATTCTTGGTTTGAATCGGAGCAGGATATCCCGAATAATCGTTGGAAATATGGACGGAGGACGGAGGAAGAGGTGGTTTCTCATAATCCACTGGGGGAGGACCATTGTAGGCTGCCACGCGTGGTAAAGGAGCGGTTTGACTAAACTCAGGCTGTGGAGGCAGTACTGACGGCGGCGGCGGTGGTTGTTGTTGTGGCGAAGAATCAGGACTAAACGGATTCAACCAGTTCATTAGCTGTTGGAAATATCCTGGCTGCGGAGTTGACTGATAATTCGCCAATCTTGGGATTCTGCCTGGATAAGGTTTTGGTGGAGGCGGTGGAACGAGATATTCGTTAATTCTGTGAATGCGTCGAACATTGTACGATCTACCCCAAGCATTCTGGTTAGCGAAAGCCCCGTTGATTATGCAGATTATCAACAGTAAAAATGGCAAGATCTGCAACACGAAATATGAAAGTTATAAGCAATCGAATTGGATTGAGTATGGCATACATCGATGCGTTGTTTCCATAGTGAAGCGTTTAAGATAAAAATGCTAATGTTACTAACTGAAAATAATTTTGTTGTAACTGCAAATTATTTTATTATAATGAAAAAATAATAACATTGAAAGTGAGAAAACTTCGTTTTAAAATGATTTAACGAAGTATTCGTCAAATCGAAATTTTCACTATACACAATCTTAACTAAAAATGAGAAACACAAATGTTTATTAAAGTAGATGGATACATGCTAACAATTGTTTTTCTCTTTCTCAATATGCTAGGTATCATTTGCCTAACGAAATCTCGTGCGCATTATATTATTATGTACACTTTCCGCAACGTCAATGACGTGACAGAGAATAACGTGCAGAGAAGCGAACTGGGTCGCACCATGAGAATCATTCTAGCCACCGCGAATTATGTATGCCGTGCGTGAAACTAGACGCCTTCTCCCTTGTTATTCCAGAACGGAGTCCTCGTTGAACTCGGTTTTCCTCTCCTTAGTCCTAAATTCAGCTGATTACTCCGTTTTAATAATACGCCGTTTGCAATTTACGCACGTCTAAGGAACGAACAATATTACCGCGCCGCAAAAATCATTTAGACGCAAAGCGGCTAACAATTGGTTTGCGTTTAAGTGCCACAAATCATACGCTCTCGTCACGCTCGTAATCCTCAAGTTTCATATTCGCTTAACGAATTGTTAAACTAAGTGTTATTAGATTTTGTACGATGCTCTTTATGTATCTCTAATTTCAAAATTGGCTTTCAAACCGAGTGAAAACTCGCGCAATTGTCATTCGAGATTCTAAGACTCTTCGACCTATTTAACCAACGTATAACTCCACAATCATCATCTTCCTCAAGAAATTCTAAGTTAACCAATCATTATCGACAGCAAGAGGTCATAAGGTATCTGAATGCAATATTACTGTAAGGTCAAGAATGTGCCACGAGAAAGGATCACGAATTCAATTCCAGTAGAATTACTTTGATCCATTACTCAATTATTCAATTGTAATAATTATATTTATTTAAGGATAAAAATTTAAAACTTTAACGTATTTCTATATCATTTCTTAATCAATTTGGACATTAATTACTTATTTAATTATTATGGTCCATTTATTATGTCATAGTTTCTACGATATTAATATTCAGGTTACTACAAGAAATAAATAAATATTTTTCACGAATACATTCAAATATAATAATAATTATGTGTAATTATATATATAATTATTATATAATAAAACAAAGAATATATCAATAACACAGTAAAGATTTATAGTACACACTACAAGCATTTACTGTAATTTTAATTTCATTTCTTTCTTTTTGCTTAAAATAGTTTTTATAGCTAGATTTTTGAGTCACTAATACAATCGAATTAAATTCGACGTACATTCGAGTTTTGCGTCTGATGTATTATTCCACAGATGCAAGAAATCATATCCCTCACCGTTGAATTTCCACAAAATCCGCGGTGAATTATATTTTCGCACAGGCAGGAAATGAAAAAATTTTTGGTACTAGGAAGCTCTTGCCACGGAAGACCGCGAGGAAAACGAAGGAAATGTCGAAGAAAGGCCGGGGAATTGTCGCGATTCGCAGCACCCGCGGCAGCGTTGAGATTCTCCCACGTCGATTGAATGCAAGGGAGAAAGAGTTCTCCACGTGCTAGTTCTTCGCGTACGTGCAGCTACGTCGTCGCCGCCGCTCTCGTGAGAGAGAACGAGAGTAAGACGGCGGGTGACCGTGTTTGTCCCACGAACCGGAAGCCGCGTAGGAAAGTGAAGAAACGGAAGAAAAGAGACGGCGCGCTCGCGCACACTATACGCCGCGCCGCGAGAAACGCACCTCTAATAACGCGTTACGACGATTTTACGCGCACATGGGAGCACGTTATGCAAATTGCTTCCGACCAGGTCGCAACTCTACCTTGCAACTCTACGTGCGACACGCGCGATTCGCGACGCGGCGCGTCGCGTACGTGGTTTCGTTTACGGCTCGCAGGTGTTCGACGCAAGGTAGTTTCTCGCCTGATGACTGACTATAACGCGCGAATCGAAATTGTCACGCTTATCCCACGGAGATACTTCACGGAGTAGTTAGAAAATGTTTCCTCTATATTTACGTATATACTTCGAAAATTCACTAGACAGCAAAATTCCAACTGCAAAATTTAAATATATATACATGCAATAAAATTTAGCACGCATATAAACCTACTTGTTTCTGCGTATGTTCTTTCGCGATACGATGGTATATCTTCATCTGTGAAACGATGTAGCACGACGCTATTTCCTAAGACGTTAATGAGAAGTCAGTAGGCTATGAATACCCAGTAGGTATTAATCAAGCATGGATCGAGAAGAATAGTGACTCCGCGCACTTAAGTCAAGGATAGAATTAAGGATAGAAGAACAGGTCGAAATCAGTTAAGAAGCGGATAGGTCCGATTTCTCGGCTAGAGATTGTCCAGAACATCTGGAGAGCATCGCGATTTGGCACACACAGGTCGACGGTCTACGACTGACGATCATATCGAGCATACTGATCGATTCTCTTCTTCAACCGTTCAAACGTCACGTTTGGACGGGAAATTATGGTTCTATTTGACTGGCGCGGTAAATATACCAGCCTCAACCACAATCCAGCAGGGGTCTCGACCCAGAAGTGCAAGGTGAGAGGACGCGAATGCACGAATGCATCAGCGTAACTACGATATTGAAAATCAAGAGAGACGATGTGTACACACACACACAATTCTATTATAAATTCTCTCTTCAAATAGCAATAAATTGTTTCACGTAAGTAGAATCGATAAAATTTATATATATAAATGCAATATAATAAAAATACAATATATAGATAAATATAATACGAAGCTGAGATAATGAATAAAATGTATCTTATACGCCTATACATTTTATAAGTATTTTTTATTTTAAATTTGCGGAAAGATAATTTGTTCCTGATGAAAATAATCACCGTTTGTTTCCATAAACGAGCGTCCGCTAAAAGCTACACAAATTATTAACGTGTAACAACAGTGTATTTCCTAATAACGTAAGGCGAGTACCGCAAATTCTAATAATCGTTTGCTCGAAAGCGGCGATGCAGCCGCACGGAAGTCATCCGCATGCTTTCTCATTAAGAACATCCCACGCTGTGCCGCAGAAATTAATTATTAAAACGTTCAATTATTAAAATTGATTACGCCACTGCGCCCATGCGCGTATACAAACTCATCGCCGAAGATGTGAAGATCCACGCACACATAAAGCGAGTAATGTAGGTAAGTGGGCTGTGGGTATTACGACGAGCTGAAATGTACAGCGAGAGAAGATGTAACGCGCGGGGTCGTGCACGTGTAATCCCGAGAGTGTGTACGCGAGTGTGTGTGTGTGTGTGTGTGTGTGTGTCCCATACGGGCACACGTGTATCAGAAAATAAATGTCAGCGCTAATCGAGACGAACCGCTGCCGATAATGAGGCTGCGCTCTCATTATAGGATAACGTCTCCCGAAATGAAACGATCATCACGTACGAGAAATTCTATACTATCTTTGTGAAATCGAGATCGATATTTACAGGCGAAACTTTCGATGTTACTCAGTAAAGGCCGCTGCACTCTTTGGTTACACAAAATAGAAGCTCATAATTATATCATTTTGTAAAAATATGTGTAATAATTTTTCTGATCTTTTCTTCAATGTACGCGAAATGCATTTTTAAAAAAATGTCAATATTGATAAAAAAAAAAAAGTATAAATAAGCAAAAGTTAATATCTCTTGAAATTAACAATCAAAAATATAATATAACAATGAAGAAAAACATAATAATAAAAAGAACTATAGTAGTAAATGATACGCGCGAAAAACTATGCGCTAATTATATAATTAATTAACAAAATTATATATTTAATAATTACATAAAAGAACGTAAAAAAGTATATATACGCTGCATAAAATTTAGAAAAGAACATGGTATTATCCTGTCACTTTCTAAGATCTAAATTCCCGTGGGAATAGTCGAGTGAAAATCGGGAGATGGCGGCGATCTTCTCGTGAAAAGATGAGCCCTAACGGTGCTTCAGCGGCGCAGGAGACAATTACAGGAGCGTCAAGACAGAGAGAGTTATAACAGTCGTATTTACATCGCGGGCTGCTCCAGTTCGACGTACGTAAGAAAAATACGACGTAAAGCATTCGTGCCCCCTCATATGGACTTCTTAAAGTAGGAAATCGTGATGCTTGACGTTTTATTGCGCTTAATTGAAACCCACGATTTCGAAACGCAGAAGAAACTTATCTTCAAATTATCGTCTTATTTAGAAAATGGTAGAGGAAGTCAATTCCTTTTTAGCAAGTTTTCGTGATTTAAAAATTCCTAAATCTAAATATAAAATTATTTACGGTATTATATTATGTGGAAGGAAATATATGCAAAAATCTTCTAAAAGAAAATGTACAATAATTATATTTAGAAATATCTCGGGAGATAAGGAAGCACAATTCATATTAGCAACTGTCATTATTGGCAACTTATCAATAAACTCTCAACAAATGGAAAGAGTTCTATCTTCGTTTTATTAATGCAAATAAATTTATTAATTAGTGCTTCCAAGTTTACTTGCACTTCTAACTTTCACTGTTCTAATTACCTATAAAATGATGTTGCAACATAAATTACGTAGGTATTCGATATTTTTCTTTTTTTAATTCTGATATTGACAAACTATGAATCTTGTATATCCTTCGAACAAGATAAAATATTAGAGTGACACGCACTTTAAGTAGAAAAGCTTCATATTTGTATGGATAATGGATATCGTACGCTCGTTAAGATCCAGTATTGACACTCTTCTAAAGCTGGACTGATAAAGCGTGTAAATGGAAAGTAACTTTTCTTTTTTTGTCTCTTCTAAGAACTTAAGAAGACGATTTCTCATATTTTGTCTGTTATCAGCACTATGCATATTTGTAGATAAAATTTGAACAAACATTATCTGAAAATGACATGGCGGAAAAATATCAATATGTCAATGTTATGAAATATTGATATACTCCAGATTTCAAATAATACAATAATTGCAGAAGATATTTTGATACAAAAATAAACATTAAAGACAAATTTTGTTTTAATAAAATCGTTGAGAGAAAGACTATTATTTTTGACAATGTAATTAATATTAAATTTTAATATTCCTCTTATGACTTTTCTTTAAACAAATTAAATTAATATCCATTTTATGTAGAATTAAATATTTTACTATCCATTTTCGCCGCTTTGCAGAGTTCAATAAAAAATATAACAGCTTAAAATTTATTAGCACCTCTAAGTTAATAGAAACCGACACCAAATTTCACTAGTTAAGTGACATAGTTGATGCAGAATGTCTTCCTTTTGTAATTCCAAGATACTTGTATAATATTCTTGTAATTATAACAGGTAATTATAACAGAAGAGCATTAATTAAGTAATATCTGTGATTCTATATTATTCTATGATTTTTTTTGGAAATCGGGACTACGTAAAACACGTGCAAACGGAAAGCGATAAATTTAGGTCGATCGAAAGAGTTTCCCTCTTTGACTGGCGATGTGCCGAACAGCCTGATCGTTCCCCTCGAAAGCGGCTTATGTCTTCGTCACTTATTCGTCGTCCTGACTCGCGCTATCGTCGATTCACGATGTGCATAAATCAACCGTGACTTTTGAAATACAACGCGAGCAGTACATTATTAACATACTATTCCAACCTGTTCTCTTGGCTAATTAAAGAACGTGACTGTGAAACGATTTACAAACCAAAATAACTTTTCAAATAAATTATAATTTGGCACTAAAATTTAACTATTAATTTTGACTAATAATAATTAGTGAAAGGCTTCCTACTATCGCAATAAATTACATTTGATATAAAGATACAAAATCCATAATTGCCGAAAATAGACTGATAAAATTATAGAAAAAAATATATATATATATAAACGCACAGTAAACTTTCTAACGACAAAATAATTTGTACAAGAGAAATGCAACTAGATTTGAAAAAATATATAATCCTTTGTTATTTCTCATACTTTTCCACAACGGTGCAAATTACAATATCTCTTAATTGTTGACAAACAATGTTTGATATTAATGCGAACAGCTCTCACGCGTTTATTATTATCCATGTAATATAGACTCGAAAGCGGTGTACGTATTTTCTATGTAGTCAAGGCTCTCACACGTTCTCGGTACATCATAATCGCACAGCCCACACGATTCGCCTCGTTATCGATACCGCGAGTAAAGAGAATTATAGCGCATTAAAATGATCCATCATTAAATTCACTGGAACGATCAAACGCAAAGGCAGTGATTTGAATTTTTTCAGTCGGAAACGCGATGAAGATAATGAAAAATTGCCTTTTGATAACGTATTCTCTGTGTTGATATTGATGTCTTATTAATATAATAAAATTTTGTATTGTAAAGATATTTGCATTAAAATATACACATTACCAAAAAGATTCTATAATTATTTTTATATAATTAGTTTATAATTAATATTTTTATAAATTTGTAAAGAAAAATTTTTATCTTTGCTATTAAATGACTTTTATAAATCAAACATATAAAAATTATTAATAATAATGAGACTCAATAAATAATAGAAATTAAATTTTAAGTTAAAAATGACAAAGTTTAATAGAATCTTAATTAGAATTTTAATATCTAGCGCAAGTAATTATTTCAAAAAAAGAAGAAGTTTATCTTGTTATCTTGTGATTTTTAAATCTATGTCACATCTAGTAATATTATTTCATATTCATTTTCAAAAGTGGATAGACGGTAAAACATAATGTTTTAACATTAAAACCTTGTTTGTCTCGTGATCTATTTTCTCTTCTACATTTGACTTTTATTCTAATTAAATCTTTTTATTTATTATTCTTATTGTCATTTCAAACATATAATAATTTGATAATAAAATTTGGTAACTGATTACGGTATCATGCAGCATTAATCAATTAAATTTCACAAGCTTCTATTTTTCAATTCTAAAAGTTCTAAAATCTCTTCTACGACAACAATAGTTCCGCAATTAGATACTCGGCGACTTCGTTCCGATAATAAATTCTTTCGATGTTTTATTATCAGTGTTACTCACTCTTCGAGCATCCATCTCTCCTACAATCAAGATCTCTCCGCCAGGAACATGTCACATGCACGCGAAACCAAAATCACACTCGTCCTAAATCTTTTTTCTAAAGCAAATTGAATTCTCGCTAGCTTTCAGTCTTGTGTCATCGTCACAGCGCGTAATTCGATCAAACGGGCGCGAGAACACACTGTTCTCTTCTTCGTCGCGTGAAGGTGAAGGTTGAAGTGGAAGGACGCAAGATCGAAACGACACAACCATGCATGGGAAGGGGGATGGGAAAAAAGAAAGAGATAGGAGGAAAGATGCGCACTTGACCAGGATTAAAGAGAGAGTCCATTGGAGCGTCTTCAACCTAAGTCACTTATATACATTTGCGCTTCTCCTTCCTTCCTGACACCTCTCTCTCCTTTCTGTAGCACCTTTCCCTCGCTCCAAAACAAGGATTCCTCCGTGTATATTCAGCCGATCTCTCTCTTTAAGCCTACAGATGAATGCGTGGATTAGACGGAGGGGTTTCGTATCTATTCAAGAAAATCTTATTCGAAAAAATCTTTTTGCCTCTCTGATCCTGCTATATGAATACCGGGAAAAGTTACCTGAACTCAAGGGTCGCGGGATGGAATTTCAAAATAAAATCTATGGTCTAACGCACCTGCGTAATGTAGCTGATTTCTTGGTTTCATATATTTTACATTCTACACAATATAATGTCATATATTTATCTTGTATCTCGTACAAATTAAATTATTCTTATTATTACTGATTCTGATTTTAAATTGTTTATTATCAACATCTTAAAATGGGTCTCTATTCGCATTGTTCTAACTTGATACGATATTACAAGAAATGTGGAGTCACAATTTACATTATTTGATGTCTTGCTTTGTTGATGGACTCTCGACATTTTGCGCCGATATAATTATGTCTTCAATAGCGAGTGAGATTGAAAATACCCATATCACAGAATTTTTATACATGTTTTTTCGTATTTGATTATGTATTCGTTTTAATTTTTATAATATTATTGTACATCGTTAACGATAGTTGGTTCTTAACATTGAGAATGACCTAATTAAGGTCGAAACGATTGTTTTTGAATTTTTTTAAATTTTATATTTATTTTTAATTAATGACTGTTTATTACCAAGACCTTTATATTTTAACTAATATTTGGCTCGTAGCCCTATTTTATATTAATTATTTTTTAAATTTATTGAGCCTCGTTATATAAATATTTTCTTATTATTATTATTATATATCGTATATATATCTCAGTTTATTAAAATTTACGTATGAAATGTAACGAATAAAAAGCTTCAATAAATATTTTATCGTAATTTGATCATAAGGGAGAATAAACTTTTAATCTAAGTGGCGAGATAGAAAATGTTCTGTTCAATATCAGTAAAACATGTAAAATAAAATCTATTTCAATATACTATAGATACAAGATGTGCATGCATAATTGATGCGTAATGCTAGCACGCACGAACAAGCAGAATATTACGTGCGGACATTAAATCCAGTTGCAACTTTCTCGTCGCTTTCTGGCGATTTTGTATTCCGTAGACTTCACCCTCGATTTCCTCGTCGTAAGACCGCCGCGTTAAAAAAAACACACATTCTGAATCGCTTCTGACATTTCACCTGGAAAGAACCGTCGCGTCGGGGATGCACAAATGCCGTCTTGACTTCAAACGACGTCGAAAGAAATACGCATATACATATATGATTTTAATCGAATTTACATCGTGTTAAAACTTTCAATAATTACGTAATATAATAGCGTCGATAAACATTAAAAAAGAGAAATTAAAAAATGCAATTCGTACACAAACAATATTATCTTCGATAAAATTAAGATCAGAGAAAATGCGCGAATTCACGTCAAGGTCAAAGAGAACTATCTTCACTTTATCTTGCTTTACATTCTAAATCCCTGATAAATGATCGTATGATTGACATAAATCATAAATTTCCTCGCTATATATAAATGCAACGTTCACACGTGTCGACAGAATCTTTGTTCGCATGCACTCAATAATGGATCGCCTCTTGATCACCGTTCTCTTGTGCCTTTACACTTCTTTCAAAATCGCTGAAAATCAAATCATACCACCCCCTTGCACGGAGATAGGTGCTTTTGAGATTTACGATGGAACTTGCAAGAATTATTATATTTGCGTGGATGACGGCGTGAATCTCACACCAGTGATATTGTCGTGCGCCAGTTCTGCCATATTCGATCCTCTTCAGGGTAGATGCGTGCTTGAAAGCATAGAAACGTGCCAACAAACGACGACAATGGCATCATCGACAACCGCAGCACCACTATGCCCTAAATACGGCAGATTCCCGATACTGGACGTGAACTGTAAGCGCTATTACTTATGCTATTGGGGCGGCCAGAGTTTCACCATTTTGGATAATCTCTCGTGTCCAAATGCACTGATATTCAATCCAATGAAAGAAAAATGTGTATCGCCTTCACAGTACATATGTCCAGGGATAACCACATAAGGATAACAGAACGTTACAATCATATTGCATATGTTTGCAGTCTATAAGATGGTTACGTATCTCTACAAAATCATCTTAATGTATACATATTAACAGTGATTAAATTACGCTTTTGAGGCTTTCGCGGGTATTTTCTTCAATTATACCAGAAGGTTTGCGGATTATCGCCGTGTCTTTCTTCATTGTTAATGCCAACATTTCGTGAACCGTACCGTTTACTTCATCAGTGATTAAATTGTTTATCAAAATATAAATATTTACTAAAAGTGATATTCTTCTTGATTATAATAAATATATGTTTGTTGATTAATAAATAATTGATCGAGTATAAAAAAAATATGCGTTAAATATATAAAAAAATACTGTATCAATTAATAACATTTAATAAATAAAGAGATTAAAAAAGAAAAAAGTGCGAATGTAATTATCTATCATTATAAATCATAAACAAAATTTCAACATCTGTTATAGGCTGATAGAAAATTAATAAAGCGATCTGCGAATACCGCGCATTTAACAGCCATTTTATTTCTCAACACATTATTTTCAACTTAATGGAAACAATAAAAGTACGTAACAATTTCTCGTTAGCACTATCCATTACAAACGCGATTCAGTTAGTACAATTACGATTGCCAATGCAAACCGCTATTCATGATTAATTATTTTCGAACGTTATGAATGCGCAAGCTATAATAATTCATATACGATAATCACGCGTTTATAACTTCAAAGATGATTAAACGTTGTAAATATCGCTTCTTTCTAACCATGATAATCAGATAACTCAGTGTTGCGAAAACATGTAAAAATTATACTAATATACGGGTAAATTTTTATGACACAAAATAATTATATTCCTTTTATAATTTTATTCCTTTTTTATATTTGTCCGAAAATTTGTATATATTTATATAAATAAAAAGCACTCATAATCTGTTATTTGCCGTATTTCAAAAGACAATTAATATATATTGTAAAGTTGTTTTGTAACATACATTTATACATGATTAAATGATAATATACAGTAACGCTTATACATACAACGTAATTCCTCATTTCAGCTTCATTGAAATGTTTTGACATTACAAAATGGCAAAATAAAACATAAAATCTTATCATACATCTCAAGAAGGAACTTTGTACAGTGTGAATTCAGTGAAACTTCTAAGATTGCCACCCATCGGCGCCTCCTTGATCCTTTCGTTTGACCAGTGTCCAACTTTTTCCGTGGCCGCTCTTCTTCTCCTCAATCGAACCCTGCTATCACTGGGGTCCGCTAAAATACCCAACAAATTTGTTTTGACGGCTTCTTTAACGTTGTTGATCAAAGTCAAATTACTTTGCGATAATTGCGATACCATATGCTGCAACCCGGCCACAACATCTTCCTGTATACCAGGTATTGTCTCTCGCACAACTTCCATTTTTGTTTCGTTGCTCATGTTATTCCTTGTCGAAGGCACTATACTTTCATTTATTCCATTAGTTATATTTGTTTCACTTTCTATATACATAGTAATATTTGTTTCTTCTTCGGGTTTATATGTTGTAGTTAACTGTACGTCTTCCTTCGTCACATTAGCATCACGAGATTCCGAAGTGTTTGAAAGATCAACATCGCTGATGGTTATTATTGTCGATGACATTGTACTTTGATCTTCTTGTTTAGTGATGTTCCTTTCACTTTCTGTATAATTGTTAGTAGTTGTTTCCTCTTGGGAGTAATTTGTCGTTGTGGAAAGTTGTAAGCCATAAGTTGTGTTTGTTGACTCATTATGCTGAGTTTGTGAATTATTGAAAGTATCAACCACAGAGTCAGAGGAATCGTACAGCTTTTGTTGAACAAATTTATTTAGATCTTCCATTTCGTTATCAAAACTTCTTCGTTTCCGTCTTCGAGATGTTACGTGCTCTTGATATTCAGAGTAATCAACTTTAGCATCGTCGGATCTAGAAATAAACTGCTCTGAGCTCAAATCCTCAAAATCAGTATTCTTAAATTCCAATTCTGCATCACTACTGTCAACATTATTTGGCTCTTTATCAACAAAATTAGAATTTTTTGTCAAATTGCCCAAGCTAGTACAATTCAATAATGCGTTTATGGTCTCCATATTGACAGAATCATTCAAGGATTTCAATTGCTCAAGTAAATCAGGATTAAGATGATGTTCTGGATTCTCGTCCAGCGATAAGTGTTTCTCCACTTCGACCAAATTGTGCTTCTCCTTGTTCTCGTTAATGTGCTCCAGGAGGATTTTGACCTTCAAAGACAGCTTATGTTGCGGCGTACTTGTAGTCGTGCTTCTTCGCGTGTCCGTCGTGATATGTTTGGCCGTTGATCTGCCATCACTTTCCTGTGAGATCAACATGGTAGTTGCTACATTTGTAACAGTCGTGTGCTCAGTTATTCTCGATTCCTCGGATAGAGGAACTTTTATCAATTTTGGTGGACGAATCGTGTCAAATTTTGGTAGACGCTTCTCACAATTTCCAAACTCGTCGCAGCCCTCCGAACTGGCGCAATCCTCGGAATTCTCACACGAATAACTTACTTCGCCGCTTCTCACTGGTGACAAAGTCGTTGATCTGACTTTCGTTGGTATTGTGGAAATAAATTCTCTTTCCTCGCTAGTCTTTAGCCCAATCATTGTCGTCTCTTCACCTACAGCTCTTTCTTTAGTTTCCTTAGAGGTCACTTCCTCGGACATTGATGATGACTCGATCATTATAGTTCCTGTTACACTTTTCGTCGAAATTGGCGATTCAGATAATTTATCGAAGATCTGATCAGGTTTACTAGGTTTTTTTGTGAATTCGATGAACTCAACTGATGATTTCTCTGTTGTAACACCTGGCTCAATACCAACTTCACTTGAAGTCACTATGCTCTCGCTTGAAGATGAAATATAGTCAACTTTTTCTAATTCCTCGCTTGTCAGCACATTCGAATCTTTGTCTTCTTCGGGTTTCGAGTATTCTTCTACATATTCTGCACTATGGCTTGTCGTAATCTTTGTTTCCAATGAACTAGCATCAACAGATGCTTGATCTGTTGATTGAGACGCATATGCTTCCGAAGACTTTGTGAAAATATCTTTCGCGAACGCAAACGGTGTTGTCTCTCCAATTACCTCAGAAACTACTTCTTCTTCTTTCGATGTAGATACAGACTGCGTAATCTCCTCCGATTTCTCCTCGATAGAAGGTTGAAATATCTCCTCTTTCGAAGTTACTTCTTTATCACTAATTAATGATGTTTCGGCTGTTTCCGTCGTAGTTAATTCTTTAATAAATAATTCTTCCGAAGATGTGTCATATTTTTGCATTAAGCACGCTGGGTCTGATGGATCCTCTTCGCAGTCTATCTTTTCCTGAATTGTCGTTTTTTTGGGAAAGATTGTTGATCTTCTAGATACTGCTTCTTCAGGTAATGATTTCGTAGCTGTGAATAAACGATCTTCGTCGCTCTCACTTTCGGATTCGCTCTGCAACTTAGTGACTATTTCTTCAGTTGTACTGAATTTATCGATTTTTGATACAATACTAGGGGAAAACATGGTTGCTTCACAAGCACCATTTTCGCAGGGTAGTGCAGTAGTGTGTTCAGTCATAGATTCAGTGAGTGTACTACTTTCCGTACACTCCTCTTCAGTTGTCGTTGCTGTTAGTTGATGCATTTTGGGACTAACTTTAATCTCTACTCTCTTCTTCGGATTCTTTGAGCCGTCATTCAATTCTACGATATTTTTACTGACCACCGGACCAACTCCGCATTTCACTTTTTTATGTTCCCAAGTAATAATGTTACCCACATGATTGACTGAAGTAAAATTAACGATCCTGCTGACCATCGTGTCTTCGTCTATAATTTCGAATAAGGCCGTCTTACCAATGTCGGGATCGTTCGCCGTCAATTCTCCCTCGAATTTTTTACATTCGAGGTATCTTTCCGGTATGGTTGCCGAGTTCTCGAAAGAGATTGTGTACTCACGAATAACCAATCTCTTCGGTGGTCGAATGGTCTTATCTTCCTTGATAGTCGTCGTTTCAATCCAGCACAGAGTGATGTCCTCGCCCTCGTGAACACTGCTAGATTTTTTCACCTTGGAATTGTTGCCAACCACATCATGAAACTCCTTTTCCACGCTTAGAGCACGGCCTGTTGTATTCGCGAAGAAGCTACTTGAATACCTTTGATTCTTCTTATTATTGCTTGCACAATTAGTCAATATTTCTTCCTTGACTACTTCTTCCAATGTCGATTGTCCTGTGACTGGCATAATATTTTCCGTCGTACTTTGTTTATGGCGATGGTGTTTAACACGATTATTACCACCGAAGATATTCATATTCACATTTTGATTTACATTGTTTACTTTGCTGTGAAGAAAAAAATAGAAGAACAAAGTTAACAATAATAATGCAAACATTACAATTATTTATTATTATTTGAAATTAATAGATTAATTGTGTATCTTTCAAAATTTTATTTGTTTTGCTTTTTCAATATTTTGGGTATTATTACGAGTTAAATATATTTTACTATGGTTGCGACTCACTTAACACTTGCAAGCATTATATATCGTTATTTAATATTAAACAACAAGGATAAAATATAAATACTAAGATAACGCTTGTTATATTTTAAAAACAACAAAAATATGATATTATTATAGAATTTCGGTATTATAAACAAGTAAAGGAAGTAACGGATGACAATCTTTATTACAATAATCTCATGAATTCAGTAGCGATAAAAGGATAAAATAATTCCACAAACATTAAATGGAGTGCAGCCTATATAGGCTAGTTTCATTGTACTTTACTTTTGAATTGTGTTATCTTCGTCATTTTCATCATTTTCATCATTTTCATCATTTTCATCATTTTCGTCATCCTCATTAGATGTAACATCCAATGTTTCCGCCTCTCTTATGGAACGAGAACCCGAAGCAGAATCATCCAAATCAATCTCTGAATCTGTTTTTTTCTCTTTGAATGCATCCAGCATCTGAAGAATTAAACAGATACCAAAGAAAAATTGATGATAAAATTAAAGAGATTTCAAAAATATTTGAATCTCTTTAGTTCAAAAATAAAAACACATACAAATTTCGATGTTTAAAATTACAAAATTTTATTACCGCATAAAATTATAATATCAATACCCCAGAATAAAAAATAATTAAAATTTATCTTTAAAAAATCCACTTACGCTAATAATAAGTCAATGAATCCGAATCAAAGCGATGCAATTGCATGAAATGTGATTGATGAAGAAATATCCGAAGCATCATTTTATGACAGTGGTAATTATGATAAATAATATAATATGTCAAAACTGCTGCGTTTATCTATAAAATTATAAAAAATAGGAGAAAATATAAATAAATTATAAAAATATAAAAATATAAAAATTTCTTAAAGACATCTTCAAAATTACTCTGAAAAGAAAAGTTTATCAAAAGTTTTATTGCATAAGATGTTCCAAATAAGCCAGTGAGGGACTTTTAAAAACGTATGAAAGTATAAAAACTATGAATAAAAATTTTCAAAAATGTAATAATAATAAACGGACAAAAATTAAAGAAGAAACATTTGCAAAAATGTGAGCAAAACAAAGTTATTAATATATTAAATTTATATACTATACTAAATAAAAATATTCATGAAATATATATAATATATAAATAAATAAATATATAAACATAAAAATATGTATTGTATGGCTACATACTTGATTTGATGAATAATGAGCAAGTGGAACCGCAGCATTATGTTTAAACCAACAGCAAACCTATATCAAATAAATATTCGCAATATTACATCGGTAAATATCATCAAATTAACGTTATTGAAGTAAATATCCTTCGATGTTCATAATACGCGTAAATAAATGGAAATTAAAGATAATACATATTTGAACAAGCCAATAAATAATTTTTCAGAGATATATGGGAAAGTTTACAAATACGTTCGATATCGCCTGGCAGCAATCATGTATCAAATTTAATTTAGAAAATGTCGGTTTCACAATTGATCCTCGATCAAACCATGCAAGCTCGACGATATCTCGGCACGCGAGATTAACCAGTGAAATGACTGCACAGTGCGTCGGCACGAAAGCGAGAATACTCAAGAAATAAAACGTATTATAAAGAATGGCAATATTTCACTGAAACTAACAAAGAATTTAGTTCTGACATTTATATATATAAGATGTTAAAATGAAAAAAATATAACTAATTACGATAGAATTAATAATTCGACGAAATAAAAAGATAAAAATCTGTTAAGAGAAATTTTACGCAATATTTTTCAAATATAAAACTATAAAGTTATTAATTTTCGGTTAATCTCTGATTTAATTTTTTAAATCACTTAAACATCATTATATTGAAGTGAAAACAATATTCAATTTTACATTAGCTTTTAAATAACTCGATTATGTATAAATAGAGTGTAAGAAAGTAACCTACCGCAAGAATGAAAAGGAAAGTGTAAGGCGCGCGAACCAACATCGCCGCCAGAGTGTCACTTCTTCGGTTTTTTTTCAAATCTTCTTTGTTTCGCGACAAATATGACCTACATTCAACACCAGATCAGAACTCCTAGTTTTATCAACAAAATTCCTAATTTTATATTGTTCATATGCTAATCTACCCGACAATGTCAATAAGTTTAGTTGAATATTTAACTTCTAATTAAGAAGCGATCACCCAACTATACTAAATCATGTTTTCCGAAAAGAAGGAGCTGCTGTTTGTCATTGGTACTGACCGCGACGAATAATCGAAAGTCCCGATGATGGCACGCTGATGGTAGCACCCGTCTGATGTTGAATCGAAGTCTGTTCTTATCGAGTGCCAACTCAGCTAGACCTAGCACCTTCTCGGTAAATGCGAGTCACCGCCCCCACCTGTCATCAAATTCCTCCAACCCCGCTCCTTTTTAAACTCCCCCTATCCAGCATCTCGATTTTCTGGACTTGTTATCAGCAGCGGTGACGTCTCGTCTCCTTGTTCCGCATCTTAATTTTCTTAGTCGGCATTTTCTACATCATTCCAATGGATTGATCAATCGATTAAATACATATCACACGTCCCGAAATCGTTTGCCACCGTCGAAATAATTACCTCATGAAAAAGTTACGCGACCGAGCGACGATTGTGTTTCGAATGTTCGAATTAATCTAACGCTTTGTACAATCTGTTAATAATTGTCGAACATTAGCATCAGGATAATAAAATAAAGCTTGTCATTCTCATGCTTCCTACACTATAATATCTTAAGCGAATGTCTGAATTTTTTAATACTATAATTTTTTTATATTTAAATGCAACGCTATTAATAAAATTTAAATTTAAGTTCCTTTAAGCTTTGGAATACTAATTCATGGAGTTCCTTGCACTTATTAAGAGATTCTACATTTGCCTATATTGATTTCAATTTAACAGGCAATTGATAATTGATCGTGAAACATTTAATTTGAATGTCTTCGTTCGTTATGCACGATAAAGCTCTGTCGCTTTGTTCACTTTATTCTCTATGTCAAGAAGAACAATTCGTTCGCCGCATTTAAAAGTTTAATGAATTGCAGTTACTTTATGACCTTGAATTATGATAATGTAGATGCATGCTCAAAAAAGACTCATGTTTTATTGTATTTCATAATTGCATTTGGTAATTTGCTTAAATATGTCCTACTTTTATGATAAACATACCAAAATCTTCTTATAATTAGTGAATTTTTATTTATATTTATATTGTTGTAAAATTGAATTACAATCGAATAGTAGAAATACCTGCAAAATCTCTCTAGAAAATCTATTATGCGATCTAAATCTATTATTCGATCAAAAGATCATCACATAATAGGTTACCTCATTTAAACAGATGAAAAAGTTTATACTTTTATATTGCAGAGCATTCTCAAATTTCTAAGAAGCATGTTAATAACTTTTGTATAATACAATATAAATATATTTTGACGAATAAGCATACAAAGGAAAATTAATAGAATCGCCCTTTTTGCAATAACAATTAATGTTTATTCTCTCTCTTCTACCCTTTTCTCTCCTTACGTTGCTATCATCAACTGGTGACGACGTATTCGCTCGTTACCTGTATGTTACGCAGCTTCATCTATTGTGCACCGAGAGAAGTAAGGTTCGCTTTATATGTTCCTTTGTCTCTCGCTGATAGTTTTATTGCTACTGACGCCGAGATGCAATAATTTACGGACCATCACGTACGAATGTTGTGATCTCTGATCCCTAGAATCGCTGATGGCAGTCGTTTCCGACTTAACAATGTCATTTCATCTTACGGCGGAAGTTCTTCTGCAGGGAAAGCACCAAAAGTCAAATATACTTCACGAAGAACTAGGTAAAGTGAATTAAAATCTTTCTCTCTCTTTTATTTATATTATTGTTGAAAAATGTTTTTAAATCCATTTAGATATTCTATTTATGAGATAAAGTAATGAAATAGTCCTAATTCCTAATTTTCAGTTTATTTTTAAACTTTTTCCGTGCATCATTGTGGTAATCATGAATAAAAGGAATGATCGAAAAATTTTGTAAATCCTTATACTTATTTTATATCTAATTATCTCTACCTTGTAAATGTCACATTGTTATACAAAAATATAATTTGTTAACAATAATTGTAACAGTGTCAGTAACCTGCGTACCATGAACGATTCGACAATTTAACCGAATAATCGCGATCGGATTAACTCGATGATTTTAAGTGGTTTGCGGCGATCGTTATTCGCCAAGCGCCCTGCTCGATCGTTTTCGTTTTGATTTGACGTTGCATGCTAGGCGGAAAAGGCCAGAGTAAGACGGTTGTTAACGTACACCCGGGGATTAGAAGAGGCAAAGGTGTGTAAGATTGCGTGCAAGCGCGAAATCATAAAACTATTGCGCAAGGTGTTAGTCGGATCACAAATGCCGAAATGGAGAACGGGGATAGCGTGTGTGCTTTGATGTCCGCGAGATTGATTAGAATTGCGAATTTACGATTCCCACATCTGCCGCTTATAACTTCTGTGATTACCTCGCACTGCTATAATCGTCGATATTAGCAATGACCCAACAGTGTTTTTCGCTCCTTTTTTCCTCTGAGAAACTCCTTTGTAGCTGCTTCAATAGAACGTCTTTAAAACATTTTGTCATATAATCGGATAATCGCTTTCCTATCACCGCAGAGAATAATTAATACATAAGAATACGAGTATATTCTCTTTTCTTCTCTTTCTTTAACTTACATGTACAATAAACAAAAATCAATCATAATATAAATTTTTACCACTTATAATACATTCTAATTATTCTCATTTTGTTAAAACTGGATAAAGGCATTAGCTAATGAAAC